TAATTTATAGCTTCGGCTCTAAGTGTTGGAAATTATATCCCAAACTAGTCTTGATTGTCTACATCCTTTAACAGGAGTATTTAAACAGTTTATATGATGGTTCATATATTTATCTGTAACAATCTGACCATCATCCCCACAGCATGATGCTGCCAATATTGCACATGAATAAAAAATGCGACATTACTATTGAATACCCTGTGCATTAACCTGATTTTATATTTGAAACACACTGCAAAAGCTATATATATATATATATGCTGAAAACATGCACTATATATACTGTATATACCCCATGCACCTTTTCCTCCTTTTGGCAGCTTCTTCTTTTTCACTATTGAGCCAATGGAACGAGTAAATTTCTCCACTGTGAGAGTGAATAAACTCAATCAATTAATCAATACCATATTTCTTTATAGGGGTGTCGTAGAGTGCTGGCTTTTACTCATATCATTTTGTCTGCAGCTTTCATCAGAAGTGTTTTATTTGGGCTGTAAACACATATAGGACCTCTGTCCTCAAGAGGTTCTCCCACCTGAGTCTTGGATCTCTCTAGCTCCTCCAAGAGCCTCCTTAATCCTTATTAGATAAATACTTTTCATCCATGGCCTGTCAGTCTAATTCAGTGTGTGTTGGTGAAGATTATTATTAGATTATCAATTTGGGTAGAGTTTTTTTTTTTTAGTATCAGAAGTTGGACCCTATTTCCCCCTAAAAAACTATCTATAAACCTTTTGAAAAACTTTCTCCCTGTCTTGTCTGCTGAGTCCTTGGTCTCCTTGATGCTGTTTATTTACCAACTTTTCTCTAAATATCTGAATCCTTAAAAAATAACAAATGATTTATACTGACTTTTTTGGGAACACAGAATTGGATATTTCATGTTACTGAGGAAGTTTCTGGGGAAGCTGGTTTCTCTGCGTCATTTTTAAAGTTAGAGTAAAGGGCAGAAAGGCATACAGAGTTTTTAGACCCAAGCATTTCCTCCAACTCACCAGTTATTCACTGCTTTGTTTCAGTCTATCACAAAAGGTCGTTCAGTTGGACCCCAATAAATTTAACACCTCAAATGTGTCGTGACATTTGAAAAAGGACAACTTATTGTTTTAGATCAAAAATTGCAAAAAGTTCATATTAAATGAAATTTTTTTCTTTTTTTAAATGTTATTCAGAAAAAGAAAAGAGTTTTATTCTATTTCAAATTCAGTTCAAAATCATTTTATTCATTACAAAATGAAGTTAAATGTTGAAATAACTCTAACATTTTTGTATTTCGCCAGTTCTTGTAGAGTTTAATAACTAAGCAGGGAAATCTTCTGTATCCGTCTGTAGCTTTGGATCTGGAAAAACCTCTTAGTGAAGACACTGTTTTTATTAGAAAGTCTTCTGAAGATGAGTCTTACTGTTTTCCATAATGTTCTACATATAATGAAGAATTAGTCTTTGTGAAAACATCTCCAGATCAAAAGGATGTTGATGTTTGAGGGAAGTTATGATTTTTTAAAAAAGGCCATTGTGTCGAACTAAATGGAAAAAAACACTTATTCTAAAACAACAATATTGGCCATTTCAATCTCATTCCATTAAGGAAAAACAGGATAAATTCCCAAAACCTGCAGTTTTTGTTTCTGTTTTAATACTCCTTTACAATTTATTAGCTGTTATGGTGACTGAATAGAGCCCTGGTGGAATGAAACCAAACGTTCTTGGATGTGGTGTGAAAAAGTTGTAAAAAGTTCAAAGACTGTGAATAGTTAGTTTTGTGAATAACTTTTTGGGGTTTTTTTTAGTCAATAAGCTGGAAGAGAATATATGCAAAACTGCATAGTCATTGGATATAAATAATCAAAGCAGTTTTTTGTAATTTTATTTCCCTTTTTTTTTTCAAGATCTCAAACCATCAGAATATACATTGTTTGGACCATAGTTTATTACAATTAATCCGTGAAAGGTTCCATGTAATCCTAAACAGTTCAGGCAGAATAAATCCCACTTTTTCCACTGATATTTAATTTTCAGAAAAATGTTACTCTAAATGGCTTAGTTTTATATTTTCAAAGCAGAGAACAGCTTTAAGCTCATTGTTATAATAGATTTAGGTTATTTGTAGAACCTACAGCAGGTTTAATTGCTATTTATCAATTTAGTCACAAATTAGTTGAAATGAAGGCAACATTTCAAAGGTTTTAGTTTTTTAGCAGGACACTTTTTGTCCTAACACAAAAAAAACTATTTCAAAATAGGTAGAAATGTCTTAAAATAAGTGTATTTACCCTTAATTTAATTAGGTAGATAAGATTATTTTTGCTAAGTAAGATATTTAGATATCATGCACTTGAAATAGGTCCTTAAATCTTTTTTATTTGAACCATCTTATTTCATTGGTAAAGTTTCTCCTTTACCGGTAATTCAAGAAAAATGCACTTATTTTAATGCTGAAATTCAAGTTTTTTTCGTGCACAGAAACATACCCTGGATTCTTTTTCCACATGCTTTTAATGCATTAAATGGTAATGAACTACGAATGTCTGCAACTAACAAAATCAGCCTGATTAAAACAAACTCATATGATTAAAAGCTTTTAAATGTGACTTGCAGTGACATGATTGTTCAAAAATAAACACTGTATCATAGTCGTTTTCTTGAACTTAGATGAAGATCATTTCTGACTTTTTCTCTTTAAACTGAGACACAGTCATGAATGAAAAACATAAACTTACCACTGATTTGTTTGAAAATGTTATTTATTTTTTCTTACAAAGTTTCATCATGATATTTGTTACAAAAAAACAATATTCTTTAAAAGAAAATATTTACCAAAATGTATCTCCACTAAAGAAGTTTGAATTTAAAATGTTTTTGCCACATTGCGGTTTTGTTTTAAAGACCCATCTTCAAAAATGAGTCTCATTTTTTCCTCAAAGGGTCTCATAATCTAAACGCTCTCTGCTCAAATGGGCTCACAAACAGCGTAAATAAACAACCCCGGGACAGACCCAGAGGCTGGAGCTGGTTAGCCTTCACAATTTCAACATTTTAATTTGTTTGTTCCAATCTGCCTGAAAACGGTGACCTAACTCCTTCATAGTGAGCACATGTGTGGAAGAGTGCAGGGAAAGGGTAAGATTTCAAAATGGAAAAGAAAAAAAATGTCCCCATTTTTCCAACATCCAGACAGAGCAATTCATCAGGAACTTTGATGCACGTCTTTGAAAGGAGATAAAAAATAAAAAAAAGTTTGTGGAAAATGCAATACAGAACTGAGAGGGGGGCTAAACAAATGTCATTTTTGGATGGCGGGCGGATGAGAATAGGAGAGATGATGAAAAAGAAGCATTCCTGGGAATTGAACTCACTGGCTTACTGTTTCCTGGCCTTGATTAGAGAGATGCAATGATTCGTGGAACATTAAGATTAAGATCTTAGCTGTCCAGCTGAAAATTATAGAAAGGAAACTCTTGGTGTCTTTATCGGGAGTGACATTGTTTTTTATAAGAGGAAGTGCCATTACAGCTTGCACTTATGCACTCAGGCTGCAGTGAAAGCAGTTTCTAAAGGTTGCGGTTTTAACCTGTTATGGGCTTAATTCAAACTGCTTGATTTTCAGTTCCTTTTAAAAGCATTTACACTCCTTTTGCTTTTTCCGCATAAAGCAATGCATAATGTTGGAAAAAAAAATGTTTTAAAGATATTTTACAAAAGGCATCTGAAACATTTGGATTGCATTTCTGCACAGGCCCTTTAGCTTAATGCTGCTGAATAAAATATCCTTTAGAAATCATGTCCTGTTTTCTGAAGTATGTTACAGAACATCTTCATCCAATCCATAGGTTTGGGAACTTTTCATACAAAAAGCACAATACCGAGTTCTTAAAATTAACAAGTAGACTAAAAACATAGGCCGACTAGTAACACTTTAGCTTTCCCCGAAGCTTTGAAAAAAACTGATTCAGGAGCAAAAATATATGCCCTACTTTACTTTCTTACAAACCAATATTTATATGAGCTACTTCTTCAACAATATAATTCAAACTATAAATAACCAACATTTATTTAGGCTGCTAAAAGTGAAATTTCATGGTATCCTGTAGGCCTACAAAGAAAATACTTCTCTTCTCGCATCAAAATAATAAACAGTCAAAACTATTTCTAAAACTAAAGAAAAACAGACATACACGACTAAACTAGTGGATAAATCCTATTTTCTTATTAATGGTCTTATTTTTTCACCATTAAATTAAGTCTTTGTGATAAAGAAAAAAATAATATAACATATTTTTTTGTCATTTTGAATCAAAAATAGCAAGCATGAAAAAAGCAAGCAGAAATATTTATTGCCAGGTACTATTAATAGATTATAAAAAATAAAAACATAGGAGAGGTATTATTTAAGAGCGTGGTTTACTATTAAATCATGGAAAGTTTATATACCTCAAAAGTTTTTGTTCTGCTATCTGTAAAGTAGAACTACGGGTCCAGTAAAGACATCAGAAGGCTCTCTGTTCACGTGAAATAAAGAGAACTTTTTGCTTCCCATTTGAGTCTATCTAAGCGAAACCGGTTTGTTTGGCTGCTCCACTTTAAGCTTCTCTGTTCCATCTGAGTAAACTTTAACTTCACAATGAATAACCAAACTTGGCAGAATGGAACGCACAGCAGCCGAGTAAATCATAAATTATACACAATAATAATCAATTTGTGTAAGATTGCAATGAGAATGGACTACTTAGGTGCAGCACTTGGTAGGATGTTATAATCCAGTTTTACAATGGTGATCTGCACAATAATGACCCATATGGGCAGATGGATGGAGCCTTAACTAGTCCTAAAGCAAATATCTGAATTAGATCTTAAAGCATTGTGGACTTAAGGAAAACATTCAGACTTGATTAATAACCCCACATTTAAATCTCTCAGAGAGAAACAATTAATGGATTGCTAACCCTTTGATTAGTTGGGTTTTTTTATGTTAAAAGATGTGCAAAAAACAAAAAATAAGCTTCTAAGAAACCAACCAGGAAAATCTTTATTGGTAGAACAGCAACCATACTATTCTTATAATCCCCTCAGCAGCTGTTTACATTTTCTCATTTTTTGCATTTAGCTCCAAGAAGGTCAGGGGGCCTTCTTGTTGTTGCTCTAATTTTTAGCTCCCTTCACAGCTTCTTCATTAAATTCAAGCTCAGCCACAGTAAAATGTTCATATTTAGATCATCCATTTATATAAAAAAAAATTTTAATAAAATAGCTTAAAAAAAAACAAAGAGTTTGCATTGAAACTGTAAACTATAAATGTTTACGTTGCCACTGCTTGGAAACTGCTTGCCCTATATAAGGAACAAACCTTTATGCAAAACATTCTAATAGAGTTAAAAAGAAATAAAATAAACCAATAAAATTCTAGAAATTGTTAGCATTGGGGGCCAAGACAAAAAAAAACAGAGAATCTGAAACTAACAGTAACTTCATTTTGTTTTTCTCGTCAATTCATATTTAAAATATTTTTAATGGTGTGTGGGGGGGGAATGCTTGTTTTATTACCAGCTACTCCTTAATATCAAATATTGTAACACATTTCTTTTCTTTTTTTTTTTTTTTGTCAGGTTGATATCAGCTTCAAGTCACAATGATGCTGTCAGCAATAAGAGACAAAGAAATGTCCCCACAGCAGCCAAACCTGACAAGCCTACAAGACAAAGTAGCTTTTTTATCTCCAGAACATCCAGTGAACTCCTAGAGATCACCCAGGGCCACCGCTGTCCAACAACTGAACTCCTTCAAATATTTACAGTCTCTTAACCTGCAGTTTGAACAGCAGTGTTCATCAGCCCTTCTTGGAACGCACACAGTTGGACCCGACAGAGGAGCATCTTCCTCATCATCAGCTCTGTTTAGGCCGTTTCTTGTGAGGCGCTTCAGAGTCCGTATCCGCCGACTTCTTGGACGCAGCTTTCTTTTGCTCTTTTTCCTCAGGATCATACAGAGCATTTCTCAAGAAACGTGAAGCAGCTCCCTTGTCTAGACGTGCAGCTTTCTTCTTGTCTGTAATCTCCTTCACTCTGTTCATATACGTCCTTATGCGCTCCTAAGGAAAAACCGAAAAAGGGTAATCAGGAGATCATCCTGGGTACAGAGAAAGAATCAGAGCATTAAAGAGAACAAACCAGCTCCTGTTTGATTCCATGTTCTCTTGGGTTGATCCCCTTTGTCACCAAGTACACTGCAAACAACAAAGAGAGTTAACACCACTACTTCCCAATACACTTAACCATTATGCATTGGTTCAAAAAATAAATGAATCAATAACTTACTCCAGAACAAGGAATTAAGAGTATAGACAGACATCAGATCCAGCTTGGCTTGATCCAAAGGATCCAGCTGGAAAGATAGTTTATTACATGTAATAACAGTTTTTTAGACACAAACCATAAACATAAAACAGGTCAACATAGAAAAATAGATCCCGCAGAAATCTGGGGATTTAAGCTTTACTACTAGATATCCTGTGGACATTATTGGCAGTAAGATCAACAAGTCTTACCTTTTGCATCTGGTCGTTTCTGGAAATGGAGATCAGCTTCTCCAACATCGTTTTCACCGCATTCACCGAAGAATCAAAGCTCGTCAGCTGTTCGTCTATCTCCTGCGGGTATTCCTCGACTGGCGCTACCGCTGCCATGTTCCTGCAAAGTTACAAGCCAAAATATTTCAGTAATCCTATCTGTACCCCAGAGAAGCACGCGCTGGCTAGCTAGCAAGCTAGCTAATGCGCTAGCTTCCAATACAGCTAACAGCGGATACATGTCTTGATAAACATTAAAACAGATAAAATGCAATGTTAACTACACCTAAAACTAATAAGAAGAATCTATCAGTTCACCTCAGACAACTCAATGACGGCATTTACCTGCTTTAGGAAGCTTAACGTGCTGACCAACACCAAACAGGAAGTGAAATACAACAAGTAACCTTTTGAACGCTCTCTCTAGCCCCACCTGCCGGTTGGGAGAGTCACTGCGCACACCTTCACTGCTTCATTTTGTTTTTATTTTTAAGTTGTTTACATTAGTTTAAGGGTTTATTATTAAACTTATTAAATTTTATCAATATTATTGGTGTTTTAGTCATAATTCATTTTGACTGAAAAATAACTACAAAATTAAATACAAATAAATATAAAGTATAACTATGAGATTCTATCTCATAAAAAAACATAATATAATACATCAACTATGAAGTATTGAACAAAAACACAAAATAAATAAATATGTGATGCTTTAGGGGGGAAATATAGAAAGCGGAAAAGAGGTGTTGCTGTTGCCTGGGAAACCTGGGACGTCATTATGTGTAAAAGAGAAGACCAGTTCAGTTTCATCCCTGTTCAGAGCTGCAGACAGTCCTGACAGACAAAAGGCTAAAGTCATGGATAACTGTGATTTAGAGAAACTCTCAATCTCTGCTGGGAAGCTAAATCCAGCCTTCTCACCACAGGTTACAGACTATAAAGTGACAGTGGAGAGCAGGGTCAGCAAAGTCACCCTGGACCTGAGCACCAGTGATTGTGGAGCATCATACAGCATTGTAAGTGTCAGACTTCAATTTTTTTTTCTTTTCTTTTATCTTAAAGAAATTTCTTTGCATTTCAGTTAGACTCTTGTTATGTTTTTTTCAGCTGTCTGGTGACCGTTCCAGCACTGTTAAACTGAAGGATGGGTTGAACAGAGTAGATATTGAAGTGGTTGCTGAGGATGGGACGGTGAAGAAATACAGTGTGGAAATCACTAAGCTATCAGGAAAAATTGCAGAGCTCACTGATCTGTCTGTAGAAGGGGATTTTCCACTGAATCCAGCCTTTACCACTAAAGTCCATGGATACAGCAGTAAGTAAAAGCCTTAGTAATCTTACCCAAGATGTTAATGTGAAGGGTTTTCCTTTGGCGATGAGGTCTGTGATCATATTCCCAAATTAAATGCCTAAAAGGTAGCCTATTATTATAATTAGTATTAGTATTTTTTTGTTTTGTTTTGTTTTTTTATGTTGTGCAGTTTGAGGTAAACTAACATTTTGCTTGTTTATTTTAATGCAGGTTTTGTCCCATTTTACTGCAATGTTGTGACACTTGTTGTCAAGGTCCCAGACAGCCTTATTAAAGTGACAGTAAATGGAAAGAGCAGCTCTCAGCCTGTGCCACTGCATTTTGGGGACACTATGGTGGAGGTCTCTGTCTGCTCAGCAGATGGCAGTGTTTCACAGGTATACAAGCCCCAGAGAGGATTACCAAACATCATATATTTAGTCTCATTTAAACATAATCATATCATTTAATGTTATTTTTGTTGTATTTTTTTTTTTTTTTTGAGTAGCCCCTTTTGCTGGCTTCTTATTAATAAATAGGAGGACAAAATCTAAATTTCAGGAGATTTCATTTAGTAAGGTAATTTAATTTTCATGAAGCTCTGGTGCATTTATCATTAAATGCAGCTGTCTTAATGTTGCAGATGTACACTGTGCTGGTGACACGGGAGCTGCTTCCCATGGCTGTGACCTTCACTGAAGGGAAAAAGCAGCTGGATTATGAGTGCCCTGTATCCCTCAGCGCTCTGTACAGACCCATGTCTGTCCACCACAGGTGACACCTCGGAATTATGGACAAATGTTGACAGGATTTTAACCGTATAGTTATGAAAATGAGCTTTACATTTTGTTAGCCTAAAGACCAATAATTTGATTTGTAACTATTCCCTTTAATTGCATCAGGTTTACACTGGAAAAACGATCTAGAAATAGATACAAAAAAATTTAATTAAGTGTAAATACCCTTAATTTAAGTAGGTAAATTAGATAGTTTGCCAATGGAATGAGCATTTTTACTCTTAAAGTAAAATAATTGGATAATATGCACTTGAAATAAGACAATGCAATTGTGTTTTATTTACCTCCTCAATCCAAGAACAAATGTACTTATTTTAAGAAAAAATGACTTATCTTGATTTTGTTTTTTTCCAGTGTATCAAAAGGTTTTTGTTTGAAATTTTTTCTCTTTTTTTTTTTGTTTACTCCAAATCTTCATGCAGTAAAAAAACACACCATCAAAGCAGGTATCGGTTTCAGGTGATGCTGAAGTCCCTCCGCTTTTCATCTTCGAACCCTCAGAACCATATTAGCATAGACACATTGGACAGACAACAGAATTGACTTTATTATTAAGGAGTCAGTTTAATTCATCGCTTTTTTAATGTTTTTTTAGATAGAGATTTTCCAAGTCAGAAACCTGCATAAAGCATTTTTATTTGTTTACTTAACCATACAACTTATATGAATTTCATAATCTGGATTTAAATGAATTGTAGATTTCCTCAATGTCACAGAGTCAAAAGCCTGAAACATACCATGTAAAAAAGAAGGAAGCAAATATTTACACTGTTAATGAGGCATTTCCTAAATCCTCTTCCTAAATCCCAAATAGATTATTTTGCTTCTGTTTAGTATCATTGATTGGATGTAATTTGAAGAAACAACAATTGCAGACAATTGACCATTTTTCTCTTTTTTTTTAACAAATAGAAAAACAGAGAGCTCTGTACTGCCTGAAAAAGTCCCACACAACCACACCAGCCTGGCAGCTCCTCTTCATGCAGGTCTCCAGCTTAGCCACTCCCTGCTGGGATGGCATCCTGTCACAGAAACAGCAGATCTGCTGATCTCGTTGTTTTGGTCACTCTGCCATGAACGGCAAACTCAAGCTAAAGTGTTCAGGGCTGCAGGCAGCCCATGGTTTTCTATCCCCTCCCAGATTCTCTCTTATGAACCAACCCTTGATGAGCTCAGTGCAACACCCAACCAGGTAGATAGACATCCGTCTATAAGAGTGGAGACATGGGATTGTCAGTGATTGCTGAATCTTATATCTATGTCTTTTTATAGAGATTGGCTCTATAAACTTTGTTATTTTGATAAAATGTAAACCCACACACTTAACTTTCCAGAAATGAGGCATCATTTAACGGGTAAACAAATAGTGGGACACTTATTGCCAAATATAAAATGACCAAACATCAGTTTTTTTTTTATGTTTATGGAACATAACTGTTCCACACATGTTCTAATGTCCTTTAAGTGGAAGAGAAACCATCCACTTTTTCCAAATATCATATATGAAATTTGACCTTCATCCTTTTTGTGCAGTGAGCAAGTGCCAAACCCTTATGACACCACCACTATGTTTACATTTAGAAAATCTTCTGAGTCTGAGATCTTCATCCAAACTTTTCATCTGGTTTTTTTAAGGTTAAGTAACTGAGACATTCCCTCATCAGTCCATAAACGCCTATGTAGAAGACATATGGTTTGTCTCTGTTGCTGGATTAAAAAAGGTCTGCTCAACCTTATTGGAAATGTAAGGAAGGCCATGCATGGAGGCAGGGTTTGTGTGAGGAAGACAATCAGTTTAAATCAACTCCAACAACCCTAGAAAGGAGACTGACTAAATATCAGCCAGATGGAGTTAGAAGTTTGTTTATGGCTACACAAAACATGTCATGCATGCAAAGCTTTCTACAGAACATCTGTATAAATATTAGTGAGCTGTACTGTGTGTAAATGTTTACACCTATGAAGAATGGAGAAAACCTACAATAAATTCAAGCTTGTTTTAAATAAATCACAGAAATAATAAGAGCAGTTCAAATAAATATTCTACACGCAGGACGAGAGCATGGAAAGATCTGACCGTAGCTAACCTACCACGTCTCCCCCACACACTCACATATTAGCGCTTTACAATTACGTTCTTTCAGTTAGTTAACATTATAGTACTAACCTTATTCTGAAGTTAACTTACTTACACCTCTATACCCCCCTTCTAACAGTAAAAATGAGGTTCCACCACATTAAGACCAGAGTTTGATCTCCTTAAGACCTGTTGGTCCTCAGGGGATCAGTTAATATATTAGAAAAGATCCTAAATAGGTATCATAAACCGGCACACACACACACACACACATGTTCTTGTCTTGCTATATGTAGTGAGAACCACATATTGACCCCCTATTTATTTTTGTCATCCTAATAAACCCCTTCCATGTCCTATAACCCTGATGATAAACCTTAACCTGACTATTACCAGTGCATAACTCACCTTAACTTTAAGCTAAACTAAACTTAAACTTTAGTCTTCAATCTAAACGTTGGATTTAAAAATCAAGTAGCAAATGTTTTTAATTTTCTAATGGGGCTTTGGTCTCCATTAGGTGCAGGGTCTCCTCATAATGTTTTATATTCCTGTTAAAAAGTTCTTACTGTTCCAGCCAGGTAATAAATACATACCCAAAAGCACACTTTCACTGCAGCACGTTATAAGTCAATAAATTAAATTCCACTGTTTTACAGTAACCCAAAGAGCATCTTCTCCAAGCCTTACATTGAGTTGCTGGCCCGGCGATCACGGGTCGACCCACTTAGCGGCTGTCCTCTGGGAGATTGCTGGAAGGTCCCTGAGTTGGAGCTTGATAAAAAGATGTCAGCAGCTATGGTCCGGTGTTTTTTTCATTACCGAGGTAAAAATCTGGAGCCTCGGTTTACATAAAAAACTATATTTTCTAAACTGAACCTAATTTTTAGCTCAGCTGAAGTGATAATTCACATTCTGCTTAGAAATAAAGAGATATTTCACATATGGGACTTTTGAATAGTTGAAATATGTTTTTAAGTAATAAATTATAAAGAGTAATTTTGTCACTTCTTGGATCCTTAAAGATTTATGTCCTCATTTCACCCTGAAGGGTAGCTTTACCCATTAGAGGTGCTTGAATAACAACATTGTTAATATGCTAGGTGCTCTCTGTCTAACCTCTACTCTAACCCATCCTGTAATATCAAATAACATGGTGGTACTGTAGACAAAGATTATGTTTCTTTATTGAAAGGGGTATTATTTCTTAAGTAAACATGTTGTATCCGGCTGGCATACATGCCTTTCTTTCTGTTATATGTTTCCTACAGTGAGGATTTCAATACAGGTAATTTTTTCAATATGAAATAAATGATTAGCATTTTTCTTTTATGTTTTCTTTTTTTCCACTAAACAGGATGCGACAGCGTGATGCAACTATCTGAGCTCGGGCCGCACACCCTGGACTGTCCACTCCAACCCACAGGGGACCTGGATGCAAAGGTTAAAATAAAAGATGAAGCAGAGCTCAGCAGTGCCACAGTCGTTCCTATTGACCCTGAATTTGCTCATCCTTTATTTAAAACTGCTCTCACAGACTCTAAGCTACTTTAATCTCCACTTTAAAGCATGTGTTTGGTTGTGTGATGTTGATTTCTCAGCTTTATTCATTTGCTATTATAACTCCATCACTGGACTCTTTCAGAATCATTGCTTTTTTATTCAGGATGTGACAGAAACCAACTGGTATAAGCAGCACTTTCTAACATCTGGAGGTTTGGAGATGGAAACCAAGCATGTTTATAAGGTAATTACCTCCTGTTTTCTGTTTATAGTCCTCAGATTTTACACAAGCGTACATTTTGTTTTTATACAGACAATTTATAACCTGAAAAAAACACAATTTTTACCAACATATCCTTTATCAAGTTGCTGATTATTATGTTTTTTATGCCTTAATTTAAAACCTATTGCCAAAAGTAATGGACAATTTGTCTTTGTACCAACCTATCCTTAATGCATAGAGTAAGACATTAAGTTTGATGTTTTAAATTCCAAAAAATTGAAATAAAAGTAAAGAATTTTCTTTAAAACAATTTAATTATTTATTTAATTGAGCAGGTAGGTGAGACAATTTGCCAGTGGAATAAGACAATTTAGTTTCAAATAAGAAAAAACCCCAAATACAGTCTAATTTCAAGTGCATAATATCTAATTGTCTCATTTTAAAATATTAATTCCATTGATCATCTTATTTACCTACTCAAATGAAGGGCAAATACACTTACATTTTTATTTCCAGTTTTATTGTTGGATTTTCTGACCACTCTTCTATTTTAAAGTTCAGGCACTGGTGTTGGACAGCATGGCCTGTAGAGTCTGTTCTAAGTCATCCTAAAGTTGTTCTTATTAGGTTGGGGTCTGTGCAGCTCACTACGGTTTCTACGAAACAGATTTATTGGATCCACATCCTAATGGACTCTGCTTTGTTCACTGATCCTCATTTATCCCGGAGGCCAGCCGTAGAGTTTAAAAACCTAATGCACAGCAATCATGCATACTGCCCCTTCATACATCCTGATTTGCATTGAATTGACAGCAGCTTTTGCCCCTCCTCCAAATATTGATGCAAATTCTCAAGTTATTCTTAAAAGATGAGTATCCAATTGTCCAAATTCTCTTGGTGCAGGATTAAAGAAAATTAATTCCCTTAATCCTTGCATCACCAATCTTTACATCTAGCACAATGCTGTCTGGCAGGTGCCATTTTTATGCTTTACGACTCTGAATCTAATGCTTTTCAATGTGATAAAAGGCTTTTGATGCAGCTGCTTGGCTGCAAAAACAGGTAACCTCCTTCAAATACGTCTGCAGAAGAAGTCTTCATATCAGCTATAGTAGCTGAAATTTAAACTGGTTTAACCGCCTCTATTAAATTATTTTAATGAGCTTAATATATCAAATATAGCTTTTATGCAGACTTTACAACTGCAACTACAACTCAAATACGAAGAATCTGTTGGTGAAAATGAGAGGAAAGTAGCAGATAGGTTTTATTAAATTTCCCCAATAATCTGATCTTTAATACAAGGGATCGCCTCAACATCCAGACGTCCTGAAATACAAGTCCAAAACCCTCAATGAGTGTTGAATTTCCTCCTAAATTATTTAAGATTAAAATTAACTGGCTACTAAAAGTTACAGTAATTTGATTTTTTTTGCGCCATCACCATAATTACAATTCAACTTCCCCACATTCTCTATAGCCTTATGCTGGATGATATTCACCATTATGAGTTTCTTTTTAGGTGCGTAGCTGGGAGAAAAGACTCCGAATGGCAGGAGAGGATCACTGTGTGGATAAACTTTGTGCTCTGGCTGAGGAGCATCTCAGCTGCTACCGCCAACATCTACCTAAACAAGGTATATTTTCATCATTGTTTGGTAAGAAATGCAAATTAGAAACACAGCCCCCCTAAAAAATCTGGACTTTTATGTGTTTTATGTAATTTCCATAATGCTGCTATTGTTGCATTGTTTTTCAATATAAACCATATATCTCACTAAGGATTATACTGTCTTCTTCAAAGTCATTAAGGTTTTTAATGAGTTTCATGAATTTCTATGAACCCTCTATCCTGTCCCTGCAGACATTTGACCACGTCTGCTGTTTGTTCTTGTTACTGTCTTGCTTCTTCCGCAGAAAATTATGTTTAGTGTGTGCATTTAATGTTCTTGCCATATTATTTGCTTGACATGACATTTTTTCACATCCTGCCAAGAACTACGGATTAAATCCAGCCTTTTTATGCTTAATCTGGACTTTTGTTAGTCTTTGCCCATTTACAATACATATAAACTTAAATGAACATTCTGCTGCAGGACAGCATCTAACTTCTTCAATGTGAAACTCGGTTCTAAAATCTGTCAAGAATGAAATAAACCTTCAATATTTTACATTGCTAACATTTATGTTAAATCTGTTTTTCCTAAATGAATCCTTGATGTGGTTCAATGTGATTTTGATACAATAGAAAATCAGAACCGAGGCCCTTGTGTCCGTGTCTCGATTCCGACATTGCATCTTATCTCAGCTGCAGCTATTAAAAAATACATGGAAATGGGGCCGTTTGTGGTCGCCTCTGAGACGTCCTCTCGTGTCTAATGTGTCAGAGACTCCAGTTACTGCTGGGGTTCCTTCTTTTTTCAGCTATGCGTGCCTCCTTAATTGCTTGATGACTCACAGAAGTGACATTTTAGACTGATCCAAGACGACCGAATAAGAGTCACTGAAACCGAACAGAGAAAGAACACCAGATCCAGGGAGAGAGGCAGATCTCTTAAAATATAAACGGGAGCTTTAAGAGGCTGAGTGGCTTAAAGAGAGGCTCAGTTTAACCTCATGGGTCATATTGCTGCAAAACAAGAAGGCCGTGTCATGCTACTTGAACACAGATTAAGGATGCAATATTAAAATGGGTTTAATCGTTCTGTTTTTATTTCACAAGTTATGATTTCTGATACAGTGTTCCCAAATATTTCCTATCAAGAAATCACAAAAATGGGTTTAAACGATTTATTCAGTCATTGATTGAATTAGTGTCTTATGTTGACGAATAAAAACATTAAGTTTTGTTATCTGTTGTTTTTGGTCAAAACACATTGAAGCATCCAGCATTATGAAAAAGATATCATATATAAGAAAGCAGAACATAACCATGACATTAAACAAAAAGTTGTAGAAATATTTTATGACCGTTATGTCCATCTGAATTCAGGCTCCTCCAATCTATAACTCTATAACATCTATTTCAGTCAATTCCCTTCTCAGTACAAACCTACAAAAGAATGAGATGTGTGAACAGAGCAGTACTGGAAGAGAACTTGTTAGAAGTTGCAAAAATGTTCATACATGTGCAGGCTGGGGTTCATCTTCTAACATAACCCTGAACATGCAAGCAGAGCTTCAGTGGAATGACTTAAATCACAGTAAGCACTTATGTTAGAGTGGCCCAGTTCAAGTTTGAATCTAAAACCGACTGAACTGTCCATCGAACTGAGCTTGTTTCCTTCTAGATCTATATAGATGCTACTCCAATGTAAGGCCCACATGCATATCAGCTAGAATAAATCCCGTCTGTAAGTTTTTAACTAATGTGTAAACAAGCAGTGCTCTTCTCCATCCACCTTCTGCAGGGGACCAGTTAAAGCAGGAGAATATGGAGTGTCTTCTGCACAGCCTGGAGCAGGCGGCTGCTTGTTACGCATCGGCTATCCCACTAAGTCCCAGAAATGCCAAGCTCCACTTCCTGCTCGGCCTCGTTTTGGAGGAGCAGCATAACTCCTTGGAGATTTACAGCCTTCACAGAAAGGTGAAAAAAAAAAAACCAGCAGCTTGATTAGTTGCATAAAACTTTCAGTAACTGCAGCCCACACTTGAAAGGGGCGGACCCATGACTTTAGAGAGCAGTAGAGACTTTTTCCATTATTTTTATATTCCCCATTTTGTGGTCAGTCTAAACAACAGTCAGGTAAAAACCTTAGGAATATTCAGGACACACAAACTATAAATGGCATTACAATAATTGAACCTAATCTCCATATATACATGAGAGTTTTACAAATTTTCCACAATATTGCACCTTGCCCAGACATTTAACCATAAATACCATACAATACAAACCCATAAAGCACAACATGGATACACATTTTCACAATTATTTACACCACTGCAGCCATTTTCAAATCAAGGTGTACAAATCAAACAAGGACTCCTCTCAAATTACACATACTCTCTAAACACAGCGGCAGCAGTAAGATCCTATATAAAAATCAGATTTACCGTCTGTCTCTTTAGTTTTTTTAAAAAGGTCCTCAATTCTCTGCAGCTAGTTTTAAGCACAAGTCTCTAACATAACTTAAAAGAATTAGCAGCTGCCTTCCTAGGTGTCATTTATGCCTTTACCAGTGTCAGGCAAAGCAGTTCAGGTGTGTCCACACCAATAGAGCCCCACCCTGGGCTGCCACCAATTAGCAGGTCAGTGCAACAGTAGGCATTAATGCACATTTATACACAGAAATAATTTCAGTTCTGCACTGAATAGCAAGTTAAACATTTTCATGATGGACACCAGATTATAGTTGTGTTATGAAGCTTTAATGATGCTGAATTATACAACAGTAAAATTAAAAAAAAGTTGTTATTTTGTCTTCCATAGGGTTATAAGGATAGTGAGGAGTTAAGTGATGCCAAATCATCCGCCTATCAGGATGAGATTCTGGCAGTGTGTAAGCTGCATGGTTTCTTTGGCACGCCCACTGTGGAGAACCAGCTGCGGGCCTTGGATAAGGAGTACCACCTGCTGAGACAGCAAGGACAGTCCAACAAATCAGACTACATACAGACCCTTTACATCTGGCTGTCCAAGAATGCTGGGAAGGTAACTCCTCACTTTAAAAAAAATCTCTAAAAACTGGCACCCCAAAGGTTTACCTCAGGACTTCAACACACACATCAGAAATGTCTTTTGAGCTTTTACAGAATTAGCAGAACTAATTTTTTACATACAGTATTATTTACCAAGCACTTGTCCACACTCCTTTCCAAATAGCCCAACAAATTAATCCAGTAAAGATTTTCTTAGTAAAAACTTTTCTCTAGTGATGTGAACAGCTTTAAATGAAGGTTTGGGGGCATTTATTGTTTCAGAATCGCAATGCAGGGATTCAAGATGAGGAGAGTTACATATATCGAGCCTTAATGAAGCACCTGGACGCCTGGTCTCTGAGTCCCGACAGCTGGGAGTTCAGCCTCCATGTAGGAAGACTTCTGCTGCTTCAGGGGAGAAGCAGGGAAGCTCTACAGCACCTTCAGACCGGGCTGGCGCTGCACCCCCTGCACCCTGCACTTAGGTACAGAAGGACCATCTCATGCTAGAAACTACAGAATATAGTATGTTGTTTTGGGTTGTTTTTGATTTTTTTGCACAATATCACAGAGAAACAGGAAAATCTTTCCTCTCTTCATCCCCATAACCCTATTGTGATCCTTGATTCCCATCAACCCAATGTATCAGAAGAGCCTCAATTAATGGCACCTGAAAACCTTAAAACTAATGCAACAACCAGTGGCGTTTAATATATAGTGCATATCTAATGTTACTTTAGCATGAGTTTATTGCCTTATCTTCTCAAAACCCACCATTTTATAGCATTTACAACTAATAACTCAGAATGCATGAAAATTACACTGGTAGAATGTTTACCAGTATAGACATGTTAGACATCGTTGGAAAGCTTCCATTCTCCACAATTCAACCACCCAGTTAATTTTATGGACACAGCAAGCACCAAAGCATAATTAACATAGATATAGCAGCATGTCAAAATGTAAATATGACAAAGCAGCCACAACAAGCAAGAATGTCTTTATTACTGCTGTTCAAAAAAGACCTATTTTTTTTCTAGAATAAAATAAAAAACTTTGAGTGTTGTTTGAACTGATGCAGTTTGTGCTTAATGCAGCTTCTGTGTTTTACTCACCCAATTTTCATGTATATATTCAGAAACTAGAAGGTGTTAGCTTTCAAATAATGTATCACACATGTACAATTGGGCTTACAGTTACTGTTATTTGTTGTTCCATTTGAGTATGCAAAATAAGCGAGAATTTCCCAAAATGAGGTGAATGTTAAGAGGTTGATACTAGAACATAAATTAGATTTTTTTTTTTTTCACGTATGTCCTTCTTACAATATTTGTCCAAATGTGCCACTTTAAGAGCTTTCTGGATACTTTTTACATGTCAAATCATGGTGGCTTAAACATATATATAAATGTACTCTTTATCAGACTATATTGTCCCAAAAGTTACAAAATTTCTATTGAAAAAATAATCCTGTGGGGTTTTTTTCTCGTTATTGTATGCAGGCCAGTTAGTTATATGTCGATTGAAAACCTAAATTTGGCCAATCATATATCAACGGTCATCTGTAAATCGTATTATTTTGGTCACAGCTAATCTACGCAACGGTTGAAATAAATAAGAATAATTTCCTTTCCCATTGAGTTCCGTCCCAGTGTTCACGGGGATGGACGTCTGTGTCTTCAGCAGGCGTAGAGCTAACAGAACTGGCAGCGTTGCGAGGCAAAGGCTCAAACATGTACGGCTGTAAGCCTTCTACACCAAACCAAGCTTCTGCCTCAATCTAAAACTAAATCTTCCTTCACAGTCAGCACTGGATACTTGAGACATCCTATCTTGGAGAGATTAAACATATTCATTCAAATGCAACTCTTAAATGAATTATTTTTATTATTAAACTGATTTGATAGATATATTTGAAGCTGGCATTAAAGAGTAGTGAGAACATGGCTAAACATGGACCAACTATGAATCCATTAAATTGTGCTTCATGAAATGCTTAAGAATTTTTTTTTTTTTTATAATCCAATCTGGCTTTGACCTCTCATAGATTTATTCATGACCTGTTTGCTGCGTTGCATGGTGCTGTGTGTTCAGCAATGTTCAAAAGCATGGCTTAGGGACCATTTCTAGTCTATATTAAATACTGCTCGGAAGTCTTTATATTTTTTGTGCAACTTTGAAATATTTATTGCACACCTAGTATGGGCAGTATATAGATCAGTGGTCTCCAACCCTGGTCCTCAAGATCTACTGTCCTACAGATTTTAGATGCATCCCTGCTTCAACACAGCTGAATCAAATGATTGATTACCTTTTCAAGCCATTCATTTGATTCAGCTGTGTTGAAGCAGGGATGCATCTAAAATCTGTAGGACAGTAGATCTTGAGGACCAGGGTTGGAGACCACTGATATAGATTATTTAATTAGATAATATTCGGACTGTTATATATTGTTTGTAAACACACACCCTCCTGGCTGTGCATTAGAAGAACAAATGAAAGCATGAAATGAGCTCAAATCATGATCAAAAAGATAACTGCAGATATATGTGATAAATTCACCACAAATTCCTTTTAAAGCATAAGAGTTTAATATAATAAACATTCAGTTCCAAGTCAAACATATTTCAGTGGTTAACATGGTTGAAAACCATCATCAGTAAGATGATTCATAGTTTAGCATGGATTTTAAGTCTGAGAGCCAAACTTAATCCCATTAGGAGAAAAAAACAACACTGCATGTAACACAGAGGAGAAAACGGAGATACTCAAAAACATTGTAATTCTATGTGTCCAAATGGAATTCCTGAAAAACTACCAAAACCCAACATACAAACACTAACTCAGACAAAAACTGGTTCTTCCTACAGACAGAACATCCAAACCTAACTTGTGCTGCATTGTTTATGCAATGCAGTGCAGTAAGGATTGCACAGCCTCCTACAGTATATTAGAGAAACCCAACAACAATTGTACAAATGCAAGGAGCTGCACAGGAGAGCCAGTAGCTCTGGACAAGTTTGGCTGTAAACTTGCACCTCAAGAGCAAAGGATACACCTTTGAAGACCAAATTGTCCAGATTTTGGACAGAGAGAACAGATCTTTTTTTGATAGGCGTCAAGGAAGCCCTCTTTGTAAAAAGAAAAAAGCCATCACTAAACAGAGGAGGGGATGTGGTTTCAGCTTCCAAGCATTTCAAATTTAGTCATAGGACCCATTCCAAAGAGATTAGATAAGCACTCTCATTATGATCCAAAAAAACAATCACACAGCCCATGCACAGCAGAGTCCCCAACAATCCAGAAGAAGAGAGCAAGGGGCGGCATTTTGATATGCATCTGTTCAGGGGCTGCTTTAATATATCAGTGCTCCAACTAGAGATTGTTCTGGTGCGAGCCAACAGAATTGAAAAACTCTCCTGGACAATTTTTAAAACTCCTTAAAAAAAAAACAGAGTGGAAGTCTGGTTGCCTTCCAATTTAAACCTGTTTGTCGTGATCAAATTAGCTTTTAACTCATTTAGAAAAACTGGAATGTTTTCAAATCAATTCATAATGCAAATCCAAGAGGGGAATAAAACATTATTTGGCCAAGGCAAATAAGCTCCTCCTCCTGGTCAGAAAACCAGTGACAGCCAGAAAATTTCCATGGGGGTGGCCAAGCAGGAACCAAAACCAGTCTAGAGTCAGTCTAAAATGATCACGCTGCATTAACTGGAATTTGAACAAGAAAAACATCCATGTGTCCCAAATAAATCTGTTAAGACAGACTAAGTTTTCATGAAGCCCTAGCTAACACATATTTATACAAACATAGTGCTAAAAAGAGTGAGTTCCGTTTTTTTTTTTTTTTCAATGTTAGTATATTGATATTTATGATATATTAATTACTATAATTTTTTTGTAAAGTTTTATTTAGAGTTGTGAAAGAAATCAAGGTGGTAATGTATGTTTTAATGGGAAATATATATTACTTAGTAAGGGCGGCCCTGGCCACCCATGGCCCCCCTTCTAGCTTGCCCCTGCATATGACCATAATAGGAGAGAAATGTAGGATTCTGTCATAAGTGTAGGAAAGTGACCCTCTCAACTATAAAACCTGGACCATCTGGTTATATAGTTTTCCCACAAACAGACTAATGACTACAAATATTTATTTTTTTTATTTATTTATTTATTTTTTTTATTTCTCGCTTTTGTTGTTGGAAACGGACAATAAAAATGTATAGATAAACAAAACAGAAACCATTCATTCCAAAAAGTAAGAAACATTTTTTTAGAAAATTACATCCTTTCTTTCCTTTAATTTATCTCCTCAGACGTTGTTGTTTGAGTCAAACGCTAAATATTTTATTAATGGCTATGCAGGTAAAAAGGATCAAATTCAACAAAGAATTGTATTTTTTATTTTTTTAAAACAAGCAAAAGAAGAAAGAGATTCCTCCAAACACATTGAAGTTGGTGATCTTGTGAAAAAAGGGATCTAACCCTCAGCCTGCCCTTTTGAAAACCATGTAAGGGCTGTGCATACTTTTGCAACACAGTCTCACATCTTCATCTTGTCTTCAGCACTGACTGTGCTTATTGCTTTATTCCAGATTCTTCACAGGACTGGCTCTGTTGCAGCAGGAGGAGAAAGCTTGTGAGGTTACAGAGAAGGAGGCTGCTCTATTCTTACATCAGGGACTGGAGCACTTTGTCAGCCAACGCTGTAGCAAGAGGTTTGTTAAGTGTGTGTTTTGTTTGAGTGAGTGGCGGAGGTGGATGCATTCAGGGAGAGAGGGAAAGTGTGAGGTCATGACAGCATGTGTAATATATCAGGATGTTCTGTTCAGGCCTGCAGGAGGGAGAATGGGGAAGGTTTTTTATATTGATTTTTGTTTTTTGTTTTAAAAATGTAGAAGTTTGAGATTTTGTTTATAAATTCCATTTGTATTTCTTGTGTTATGATTTATTTCTGCAGTCAGAAGAAGCAGCGCATGTTAGACCCCCTCTGCAGCCTGAACGCCCAGTTTCTGCGTGGGCTGCTGGCCCTTGGGCAGCTGCAGCAGAAGAGCATGCTGTCTGAGAAGTCCATGACTCCTGAGCAGGTTTATCACACGTAGGTTACCTATGGAGACACATTATGTCACTTACAACCACAATTTTATATCAAAGCTTAACTTAAAGTAAACTCACACCCCCAAAATTCAACGGCAAAAAACAACCCTCTTTCCTCCCAATCAGTTAGATTCACAGAAGCGTTTGTAAAAACGCCTCCAGCTCTCCAGTCCTTATGTGACAACGATATCTAACACTGCAGCCAAACTTCCCTGGACGTTGAGTAGCTTTTCAGCTATGAATGAACACCATATCCTGGTTGGACACAGATTTTAGCATATGCCAAGTATATAATTTTGAATTATGTATAAAACAAAACAAAAAAAAAAGATTCAATCTAATCAGGTTGTTATTAATTAATATAAACAGTCAGGACAAACTAAATCATATGAATAAATTTACTTTTACACCTCAAAGCCACCCCCCCCCCCAAAAAAAATTTTAAAATTTCTGTCCTATTGATGAGAGGGAGGGTCCAACTGAGCATGTTCAGCACACTGCTGCCAACTGTTTAGCGAGGAAAGTTATTCCCTGTCTGAAAAATCGCTAGATGATGTCATAAACTAACTTGCTAATTTCAAAATCCAGGTTTTAGAAGAGAGGATTATCAACTTCATCCTGACAGAAAGTGGTTAAAAACACTCTAAATATGTTGAGAACTAAAAATGAAAAACAAATCTACATCAATACTCCTTAAAGGGTCATAGAATGACTCTATAGGGTATTTGGTGCAGGTCCTTAAGGTCTCTGAATAGAGTGTGTAACACTGGTTGGGCTGAAAATGGCATATTTGCTGTTCTATAAGCCCTGATGCAAGCCTGGTTTAAAGACCTAGAATGAAATGACAGGTTTTCTTCCTTTTATGCTATGATCATGAATATTTAGATGAGCTGGGCGCTGATTGGTTGGTGTACAACGAGCGAAACTGCTGAGCAAAGACACATCATAGCAACAAGCACTCACTCACTGAAAAATCAAATTGTTGATATGGTAGGGTGACCAGACGTCCTCTTTTTTTCGGACATGTCCTACTTTTCATACCTAAAAACATCTGGGGGGTATTTCAAATCGTCCGGGATTTTGTTCGACTACAGTGCAGCAGAACCGAGCCTGGGCTGGTCTGGTGCAGGGAGCCATCGGGGGACGGTGTGACACTGGGTCAGGTTCGGACCAGCCCCGGAGCTGATAATGTCCGGTCCAGTCAGCGACCCAGCAGCCCCCCCAATACCCCCACCCCCCCCAAAAAAGTGTCCTACTTTTCAGAAATCCAAATCAGGTCACCATAGATATGCTAGCATTGCTATCAACAGTTTAGAGACAGAATCATACTTCCAGCTTGCGGTTGTGATGGCCTTACAGTCGGAACAGCCCCTCATTTCAGTAAAAGAAGTTTAGCAAATCCTGCTTTGAACCGTCCAAGATTTTGAAAGCTGTCTTCGGTAAAATACTTCGAGCAAATGAACAGCTGAGCATCAAACTTTGCAGGGATCTTCTGATAGACAAAAAGAATCCATGCCTGTCGACTCTTCGGATCCTTGGGAAGACTGTGAAAATGTCCCCTTTCTCTATGCAGCCTGGAAATTTGCATTTACCCCCGTGGTTCTGGCTCATTTTCAATAGAGAAACTGCCTGCTTTGTAATTATTGTAGAAGTAAACCCAACTGTAGAATAAACAGCTAAACTGGTGTCGTACATCTAACTCTATTCATGTTCTTGGGCCAGTGAACCAGTGCGCTGGTCTGTATGTCAATTTCGGGGCGTGAAAACAGTACAGGCCAGAACCAAATAAGGCAACATCCCAGAATTTACGTCAATTCAGGGCTTCATCTGAATTCGCCCGTTTTATGTTGGAAGTTAGAATTGTGAGATTTGCAGAGAAAGGAGGTGTTGATGAGGTTTGAACTTCTCTGTACATCAATTTCACCCACTAGACTATCGTTATTCATCTATGATGATGAAAACTTGGTTTTGCATTTTTAGACCCCTTTAAATCAATCTTGCTATGTTAACGAATATGATCGGTGCTTTCATGTTGTTGCCAAAGTCTCCAACATATAAAAACGTTGCTATATTAGGAACTAGTCACTTTTTGGAAAATTAAGTTGAAAAGTGATCTGAAGAGTCTTGAATTATAGTGAGAAAATCTGTATGTTGGCAGCAGTGGTGCATTGTTAACCTCTTACACCCTAAGGGGGTATAAATAAATTTCCGCCTGACAAAAACACACAAAACTAAATAACTTATAGCCTCAAAGCTATTAGATTTAAGAAGAAACTTTTGGTACGTCTGTAAAGGTAAGATGTCATAGAATGGTTTTCTGGTGTCAGCACCATTGTAGCTTTGACCCAGCCTGAAATATTAGGGACAAAATACAAAATATTTTGCATTTTTTGAACCTCGCCAAAATTTTCTTTGAAATAAACATAGCAAAACACTACCAAAATATTATTTATAGCACAAAAAAGTAGTACAGACTTTCAAATCTAAATGTTGTGTAAAAATATACCAAATTTGGACTCAATCAGATGAATCATATTTATTTTAGAATGGTATTAGTGAGAAATTTCTTAGGCGGAGAGGCCATTTTGGCACATTTATCCATAAATGTCACCAAACTGCGCCAAATGTGTTTTTTACATCAATACTGGGGGTTTGTTAAAATTATGAGATCACGTAGCAGCTGGACCCACCGGTGGGTCCGTAGGGTTCTAGGGGTTAATGGCATCAATTTAGCCTGTTTCTGATTTGAAGGAAAAAAGACTTGATGCAGCTATTTCCAGTTTCCCTACATTCCTGCTCCAGCAAACCTGTACCAATTATTAATAATATCTTTATTTATAAAGTGCTTTATTGCAAAGTGCTGAACAGTATAGGGATTTATGCCCAGAAATTTCAGTCTCTAGATTTACAAGTTGCTGATAGACAAAAGAAAAAGGATGAATCTGTTTTTCTCTTCCTTCATAATTATTATCTACCTATGCCTTTGTCTCTTACTCCAAATATTTAATGGTCAAACAAAAGTGTATCATTTTATGCCACCACATTTAGTTTATGAACTCTAATTAAGAGAGGCCAAATGTCCTTTCCTGTTCTCAGTGTAGCAGTGCTGGCTGCCCAGAGTGTGAGTCAGTGCGTGTGTCACAGCGAGGTGAGCAAGCAGCTGGAGTGGGTGCTGCTGGATGCTCACTTTGCCCTGCTGCAGAGACTGATCCAGCTGCGTGAACGCCAAACTCAGGCAGCCATCGACCAGCCCTCCTTGGTGGCCAAGAGGTGTCAGGCCCTAACAGCTCTAATCCGTCTGACCAGCATCTCTCCCTGCCAAGAGCTGCTGGATATGCAGGAGAGGGTAGGAGTTTTTATTTTCTACATTTGAGCTGTCCTTTAAAACGATTTTTAAGGAATTCCACATATTTATGAATAATGTTCATAATGTGTGTCATCTGACACAGACTTGTCAGCTTGCAGTTGTCACCTTTCCACGTGACAGCCATGCTCTATGCCAGCTGGGTGTGGCCCAGCTGGCTCAATATGACAGCAACCTAAACTCAGAAAGGTCAAATGAAGTCCTCAGCGATGCCCGCCTCAGCTTCCAGGCTAGCATTGAGCTGGAAGACAAAGCTCAAACTGGAGACCCACCTGAGCAGCTGAGTAGTGAGTCTGCACTTTCCATCCTTTAGATCAGAGAGCCAGAGTTAGTCCAAGATTTCAGCTAGGTAGTAGTGAATATTTTTTGTTAAACTGTGTAAATTTTTATCTGCTGCTGCTTAAAGTAACTCTTCCTATTGTGCAGAACAAAAGTGGTGGCAGGAGCATCTGGAGGCGGAAAACAAGAAGGCAGCCACTCACCCCAGCACCCAGCCAAGCCAAGAGAAAGCCCAGAGTAGCAATGACATGAAAAAAAGAGCCACCAAGCAGGGTAGAGGAGGTCCAACTCAAGGACGAGCCTCTATGTCCAAACCTCACCCAGGTCCCTCCATCAGAGCAGGGAAGGCGGCTCAGCCTTCAACTAAAACTCTAACAGCCAAGTAAGTTATTGAAAAAGCTTGATAGATTTGGGATTTTTGTTCTTTATATGTTTGGTTGTGGATGTTTCTAGTGTGGAGACACTATTGGGTACCACTGCTTAAATGCCTGCATCTCTTAAAGCCTAAGCAGACCTTCTAACCTGCGTGCTAGAACCTTAAAGGCTCATGAAACGCCCATAGCAACAGAGCTACTGTCAGTTTGTTCTAAGTGCTTTCACAAAATGAATTGAACCAATACTCATACGGATTCAAAATTCAAATGCAGTACGATCATTAAACCCCAGGAGGGCGCCATACAAATGGCTTTAAAGCTTAAAACAAATTGTCAGTAAATTATCTAAAAAATAGAGAAAAAATTTATTCTCTAACTTGAATTTAACTTGACAAGTCTTAATCCAAAAATGAGAAATAAACACTTTTAGTCAGAGTCAATTTATTCTTTATGTTCACATAAGAGTGACACAGTGGATAGCACTATTGCCTTGTGGAAAAAAGGTTCCAGGTCCAAATCCCAGCCTGGGTTCTTTCTGCATGGAGTTTGCATGTTCTCCCTGTGCATGTGTTGGTTCTCTCTGGGTAAGGATTGAAATAATAATTATTATTAATTCATTGTTTTTTTGTTTTTTACTTTTTTTAAATCTCTGCTACAGATATTGGCAACCCTTCAAACGCCTGTTAAATATGTAAAGAGAATGTTTTTATGTTTTATGCATTCGTACCTCATACTTTTAAGTCGGTCAAAGTCTATAATTGTTTGTCTAGTCATGTAAAGTCATTAAAGGTACTGGGAGCAAAGTGGATCCTTGTTGGAGAACTGTAGTTTACAGAGCAACCCTATTACAGCAATATTTATATCAAAAGTAAAAAAATATATATAATTATTTTGCATTTCAGATAGAAAAATGTTTTCGTCAGTTAATATGCTCTATCCAGAACTCCTCAAGTGGAAAAGATTGTTTCACTGGTTTAATTTCGTACAAAATCTTCTTTAAGGAACCTTTTGCGATCTGATTATTAATTGAAAAAATTATCGACTGATTAATCGTTTTGCAAAATAAGCGTTAGTGACAGCCCTAAAGGCAACTTTAAAATGATTTCTACATTTCATTTAGGAGGCAACATAAATGTGTGGAGTTTGCTAAACTCTTCTGAGACTTCATCTGGAACTGTGCGCTTTGGTCAGTTGTATTTTATGTAAGTAGCGTGGAGAATCAGAGATGCTTGGGGAATATTTTTCTCCCACTTGTATTTTCCTGCCTAAACAAAGGTTGAGTGGAAATTAATCAAAACAAATTTTTGGTGTGTTGTAAAAAAAAAAAGGAAATGAGTCCTCTAATCGGTCTTTCAAAACAGTAATGATCCAAAATATATGACCACATCAAGAAGGAAATGGTTAACCAGACACAAAATCAACCTTTTTTTTTAGAAAAAGTATCAGTCAGCAGACCTCAACCTTACAAAAACCCTGCAGATCTGCAAATCAGAGCTGTGCAAATCAGTCTTTATCCTCCTATTGGTTGTCTGCCTATAAATAACACTTCAGTGTTACACAAATTCTGATTGTTTAAAAGATTTTTTTTTTTTTTTTTTTTTTTTGGCAAAAAACGTGATTTACTATTATAATGAATATGCCTGTTGTACGCAGCCTATATATATATATATACATATATCTATATTCAAAAAAAAAAAAAAAAAAAAAAAAAAAAAAAAAATTGGCATAACATTCTTTCTCCTGTAGGGGGAGACCTGGTGCAGCCGCAAAACCAGCTAAATCAGCTAAACCTCACAGCACCAAATCCAAGCTCCCTGCAAACAGGTCTGAACAGGATTGTAGTTCCAACACTTGTGTGACTGCAAAAGGTAAGCCATGTCTATTTGAACCCCTTCTGGGTCAAATCTCTAAACTGCAAAGAAGAAAAATGAGGAATAGAAGGAGTAACTGTGTATGTTGATCTCAGAAATAATATAAATCAAGTTTTTGCGTTACCTCTATAAATACATATTTTGTTTTATGTATAATACAGTCTAGAAAATTAAATAACACTATCGTTGATCACAAGCATTAACTAAGAATAGCCAGTTTTATTTTATTTATTTATTTTTTAATATGGCAATGTTATCATATCATGTCTGACTGTCACAATCCTTAAGGATAATGATAATAACAAAACATTCCTTGAAAAAAAAATAGAATAGGATCAGGAAGAACAATTCAAGACCAACATTTGACTTTAATTCTCTTTTTAAGATCAAGCAGCTCATTGAATATGTGAAAAAAGGGGAAAAAATGCTTAACTTTTTTTGGTCGTTTCTGTGTAAAACTTATCTATGATTCAGTGTGATTATATCTGTAGACTCGTCAGTAGGAAGCAGAGGCGGCGCCTTACAAACCCCATTAAACCCAAGGTCCCATGTGTCACGGCTGGGTCTGGCTAGGGCTCTCTCACGCTCTGCAGACACCAAGGATCAGGCAAAGCAGCTCTACCAAGAGGTCATCACCATGGCACCAGGGGTCAGTTGTTAACAGTAGTAGTTTGTCTTTTGAAGGGTATTCACTCATGTATTTTTACGCTCAAGATTGTAATGGTTATAAGATAAAGTTGTATCTGTAGTGATTCCTGTGTCATGATTAGAACAAACTTTGTATGTAGAACTTCCAGACTTTTCAGATTTAACTGTGCTCTCAATTCTTTAGATTAATTTAATAATATTAAATGTTAAAGTTAACAAACATGGCAGATAGTTCTACAGTGGATATTTTTGCAGGAAAAGAAAAAGTAAAGACACACACACTCACTCACATACATGACAAGTTAATCATACTATCCACATTGATAAACAGTGTCTACTTATCTGAGCAATCTTAAGCAATTGTATGAAGTACCTGCTTTTCTAGCAGCGCCCCTCCTGAAAAAGCAAAAAGATAACTGCAATGCCATCTGTTGTGATTGACTAGGGGTTTAGGAAGACACACAGGAGTAATGGTATATGATAAAGAGAATATTAAGCTCTGAACTACAAATACTAAAGGCTTAAACAGTCACACATATAAATAGCATTTGTTTTAGGAGAGTAAGCTACACACAGAAATACAGAGGCAAATATATAATCTGTAGACAGAGAACATGAAGACACAAGGGTTAAACCAAGTTTCAGTCTAGGTGTAACTTCTTGTAAGATAAAACACTGCCAGGGAGCATATGGGTGATAGTTTAAATAGCAAACATCTAACAATTGTCTAGTAGGATAAACTATCAAAGTGAGAGAAAGTGGACAATCATGTCTTCCAGCAGCCTAAACCTATAGCAGCCTAACTATAGAGGCAGCTCAGGATCTAAGACAGTCATCTAAGTCACCTTATCAAAAACCAAAGTTTTAAGCCTTGCCTTAAACATAGATGAAATGAATCTGAGACTTGTTCCACAGGAGAGGTGCCTGATAACTTAAAGAGCTAACCTCCCGTTCTACTGTTAGAACTCTAGGAATCCCTATTATCATTGCACTCTGAGAGCAACGTGCTGTTAGAAGCATGTTTACATAACCCCTTAATAATAAAGCTGTCATACATCAGAGATCTGGTGATTCCATAAGTACCATCAGATCTCTGAAGTCAGGCAGTTTTTTAAATAATGTTTTTTTTTAAATAAGTTTGAGAGGTACAAGGAAAATTGAAAATAGAGAAAGACTCATGAAGCACTCAGACTAAAGGATAGGGGACTTCATTTTCCACTAGTTATCCAGACAAAATCCTGACTGTATAGAATCCCTGCATTGTAAAAAGCTTTCTGTCAGTAATTGTCATGATTTAATATGGATGTAAATAATAACATGTTCATAAAATACATGTCAGTAGATGCCACCAAACAGTCCCATGCCTAATATCAAAAACGCATACAAAGGCTACACATTATAACAAAGAAACAATGTCATTAATAAAGGGTTATAATCAAAATATCCTTATTATTTGGATGATAGATCCATGATGCATACATTGAGCTGGTGGAGCTGCTGGAGCCCTCAGATGCTCAGGCTGCGGTGGACGTGTATCGCAGGTTCCCCCTGAAACTTGTGGCTGAGCAGAGTTTGGATGACGCCTTCATCAGTGGGGACATCGTCCGTTTGCTGATGTCACAGCAACAGTATGACCACCCACAGCTTGGCCAGAGTCTGGTGGCATATGGCAGAGTCATGGAGCTAAGTAATTACTGTCATAATGATCAAACCTGTATGCCTTTTCAACTACTGAAAGAATTCTAAAGCAATACTATTGGTATAGCAGATGATGTATGAAAAAAATAATCCTAATCCCTAACTAATTTTTCATATTTTGTCGAGCCAAAGCCACAAATCTCTGAGTATTTTATGGGCCCTACTGCATTTGTTGCACCTTTTCCGATTAAAATAACTTTGAACGCTTTTAGAACAAAAACTGCAAATGTCATAACCTTTAATGCACCATATCTGGGACTTTACCCACAGGTTGCATTGAGAAATACATCAACATTTTGGAGGAGAAATCCAAAACCGCACTGATCAAGAGCGTCTATGCAAAAATCAACGACAAACAGGAAGACGATCCAGATCTGCAGAACTTCTTCAAATTCAAAGGCTGGGTCTGACAACTGTTTATTCTCCATTTACCTGTTATGGCACTTTCTTCTGTGCTTGATTCATAAAGAACTTTGCCTTTATTGAACTGTGATGTCATATAGTATTTCAGTAATGCCTGACGTTGGAAACTGATGAATCTCTTCAAGAACACTTTTAATCTGAAAACAGGTTGCAGTGGGAAAAAAAAAAAAATCAGATCGAAACAGAAAACTAACAAACCCAACATGAAAATCCAGCCAACAGAGGTTTATTAGTGAGCCTCAAACATAAATTAATCTAGATTATAAACCTTGACATCCCTGACATGCAGGTGAATAATATTGCTTATACTAACTTGTATAACTGTGTTCTGTAGGATCATATTTTACACACACATTCCTAGACTTGTCCTTCAACAAAAAAAAATAAAAAATGTTCCCCATTTCACTTGAGGTGAACTCATCCAACTGCCAATGGTTGCAGATGGAAACAGTTTGTGGCTTTTAAAAAAAAGAGTTTCAGATGCTCCCATTTGTCCCCCACCCCCCTTTGGTCCCTGTTTGTCACACAGAGTTGAGTTTTGTGACGATGAGCACGCGGACAGACTGGTCGAAGCCAGAACACACGCAGAGTCCCTGCTTGTCGGGGCTCCAGTCCAAGCTGGCGATCGGCTGAGTGGACAGAGTTACGTTCTGTAAGAGGTTGACGGTGCCAGCGACGCCCACCTCCACTCCATCAGAGTCCTTCTTGCTCCTCTGTGCCGGATACTCACTAGAAATTTAAAAAAAGAAAACTGGATTAAAAGCTACACCAGTATTATAAAATATGTGTAAATGATTTCTTTGTGTTATACCGCAGCCTTTTCCCCCCATGTGGAAATGACGGTGGGGTATGAATACTTTTGCACAGAGAAATTAATCCATTTGAAGAACTATTGTTACAAAACTGGTCTAATTAACCTTTGATTACTTACTACTTCCAGAGATGAAGGTTGCCTGCTCCCCCTGCAGTCATAAAGACGTCTCTGTTCTGTGGCAAATGTCTCACCTGCCAGACGGTTGATTTGTGAGCCTGAAAGCGAAAAACATTTCACTTAAAAAGAAAAGATCAAATATAGATTTTTTTTTTAAACTTATCTTAACTTTGCGGATCAGTTTTATTATTTTTTTGGGTGTAAATAAAAATAGCAATGGCCCACTTTTTTTTTATATACAAGCAGATGTTTGTTTAGTTTTTTTTAACCAGAAATCCTGCTGTAACCTGATGGTTCCAGACGTTAATGCTCTATGCGGTAAACCTGGAGTAAATCTTTAAAAAGCTGTAACCACTGATGTCTCTGGTCTAACAGATGCTTGTTTAGACGGCTGAGCACCGACTGCGTTTCCCCACAAAAGGCTGCACTTTTCACCAGTCCTGTCTCTAATTTGGACTTTGGACAAACACACCCCCCCCAAAAAATGCTTCCAGGTGAGAAAACAACAGGCAGCCTTATATCCCTCCAAATCCAACAACCGGAGGATAAATATTTAGGACAATAATCTTTTGACTGTCTCTCCTGCTCCACCCTGGATAATCACCTTTTCGGAAACTGAGGCGAAGCCCTTGGTGGAGTGCTGCGTCCTCATGTCAAAAACGTGAAATTTTCCCTCCAGAGACGTGGCCACCAGCTTGTTCATGTTAATGTCCTTCCTGTCAAACTCCACACAGCATACCTGCTCAGAGTGTGAGAAAAAAAAAATCAGGCTCCACTTTGCAATCATCCGCATCTAGATTCAAGAGGGAGTGAATAAGAGCATCGGCTGAACAATCAAAGCAGTGCAGTCGTTTATATTCAGAAGCCTTCAGCTCCCTGTCCATTTATGGTCAGTTATGACTGAAAAGCAGATTTTTTTTTTAGGTCTGTTGCCTTTGAAACTGTTGAGCTTGTTCTACCTGGGAGCCACAAAGCTCACTAAGATAATGATCTCTAACCACACATATAACTGGTTTTGGGATGAATACGTCATCTCCAGCCTCTTAGGTGACATTTCTAAAGTGTTTACTTCAACCCTTTCAACAAACTGCTGCTTTTCTTGAACCTATTTTAAATGTATTCTATATATTTCTAAAAAACCTGTTAAATTAGAGGAATACAGATCAAACAAATGATTAAAATCCCTAATTTAAGTCACAGTCGCATATTCCTTATTAGGGAGTTTGATGCTGAGGTTTTCCTCCTCACCCCGTTTTTTATGTTGGTCCCCCATCGTAGAGACATGTTCCGCAGGTCAAACAGCTTGATGTCTCCATTGTCGTAGCCAGCACACACACAGCGGTCTTGATCATTGAAGGCGTGACCTGAAATTTACAGTAGACATAATCATCCAACAACGTGGCTTTATTTTCATATTTTTTTTGCAAACATTGCATACACAGAGCATATCTTTAACAATTCATAAATGGCATTTCATTATAACAAGCTGTTGTTTCCAGTTTACAACCAATAACTTTTCTATAATCGATATACAAAAAGTGGGATATTATTGTGAGTCGGTTGGCGACTTCTTAAGTCCCCAATTTTCTTTTAAGGACATCAAGGTAAAGGGGGGTGAATGTATACATGCCATGGCTTTTAAGCTTTGTATTTATAAGCAATTTTGAAAAACCACACAATCAGAATCAATCAGCCTTATACGGCTGGGGTTGTGAGATTAATCATAGAATATGACTTCACTTTAGATACATAAACAATTTTCTTTTTTTATTATTATGGAAAGAAAACGGGCAAGGGTGTGATTGTAATACATCCACATGATATAGGGGTCTGTTAGCTTTCCTTTTCCTGACCCGTTTCTACAAGTCCTGGATGGAGGGAAGGTCAGCCCAGATGATGCTCTCTGCTGACCTCATTGTTTGCTGCAGTCTGGACCAGGCCTGTTTTCTGCACAGTGATGGAGGAAGATGGTAGGGTTGAACTGACCAGACGCTGCTGTGGACTCTGCTCTCCATATAAATTCCCTTTAAAATATATTGGTTTGTAGTAGGGCTGTAACAATTTATCGGATTAATTGTGATCGATTATTGAAATGATCGTCAACTAATTCAGTAATCTATTAATCATCAACTGGAATATAGAGACTCTAAAACATTCCTTTAGCTGACTAACCAATCCAATTAAGAGCAGAAATTACATTAAAATTGTAAAAAAATATATAAATATTTAGCATTTAAGATAATGTTTTCGTCTGTCAATATGCTCTATCCAGAACTTCTCAAGGGGAAAAGTTTTAGGTTCACCTGGTTTAGTTAAGTGATAAATCTTATGTAAGGAACCTTTGGCTACACGATTATTAACTGATTTATTGAAAAACTAATCGTCAGATTAATCGTTAGTTGCACCCCTAGTTTGTAGTTGTTGTTTGTAAAATGAAAAAAAAAAGTTTAAAAAGGTGTGAATACTTTTTCTAGGCTTACCCGAAATTATGTTTACATCTTTATTTCTTTTTTTTTTTTTTTAGACCACTAAAGAGTAATGAAAAAAAAAAAAAGAAAAAATTTAAACTCAGGGATATTTTAGTTACCAAACGCTACAGTCCAGCAGTCCCTTCTGGTCTCTCCTTCCACAGGCTCCATGTTGGCCACAGGTAAATCCTTCTGCCTGGGATCCCAAACCTTTACAGTCCCTGCACAACCCGGTAGAAGAAAAATTAAAACGGATTCCCTCCTTATTAATGTTCTAACCTCCTTCATCTCTGTGCAAATTAAGACTCATCAAACTTCCCCTTCATACCATCTCTGCTCCCTGTGACTATCTCAGGAGCACCGTCACCAATCCCAAGGCCACCAACCCCATCGATGCTATTCACTATTTCTTTGTGAGCCTTTGCAGCGTAGACTGGCACATCTGGAGCTTCAAGATTCCTGTAGATGTGAGAGATATGTGTACCGCACTCTCAATTAATAAACGTCTACCTCTACCATTCATCTTTTCCATTAATAACAGAATTGATCATTTAGAGATTGAACATCTACAAAACAGAGGGTAAAAAATATGAAATTACCAAAAATAAATAAATAAATAAAGTTCACATTTACCATATGTGAAGATTTCCATCAAAATCTCCTGTTGCTAAGTGTCTTTGTTGAAGAGAGGTGGCCCCAAACGTCCCACACTTTATGGGTTTAAGTTTCTCCAGCTGCAACATGGGAAAACAAGAGATGATTCAAATCAAAGAATTAGAAAAATAAAAAATGTCAAGGAGCAATACTGATAGGAAAGGAGCTCCAGACTGCTGTGTTGAATCCAGGCAGCCCTCAGCCTTTCAGATGTCAGGGGGTGGACACACACATTCATTTCTATTCAGTTTATTTCACAACACCTTTCACCTCAAGGCATTTTGTAGAGACAAGTTAACTGGATCATACAGCCAGATAGTTTCAAAGTTTTCTTTCCAAGGGAAAACTACCTAATAGCAGTGACTCATTGACTTGACAGTAAGTGTAGTGTTGCACTTTTTGAATTTCAAAATAAAGACACATCTTAAAGCTGACGATGCAGATCAGAATTTAATGGGTTTGGTAATCATTTCATCAATACATCGATATGGATACATGTACAGTTACAGCTCTATTTAGGGCTACAGCAAACATTTGGAACAGTGTGAACTGACCAGATCATGAGACCAGATGTTAACTCTTTGCCCTGGATGCAAAATAATTTGTTTGTGACCAACATTCCCAGGCTAATGCATGGTGGTAGCAGTATCAGGAAGTGGGGAAGTTTTCTTTTTCAGCTATAGAGATAATAACAGAATGAGGGCAGTACAGAGGAAAAACAGCTGGAGGCTGTAAAAGTGATGCTGTGATGTTGACATGAAAAATAGATAAACATGAAACATGAAGAGAGGACCTGGGAGAAATGCTTCTTGCATTTGACTTCGTTACTCAGCGACGGTTTGCTTTAGACAAACCTATTTTTTTATTTTTATTTTTACAACAAATTTACATTTATCTTTTAGTAGTTTAAGTCATTTATAGCTATTTAAAAAAGATACATTTTTCACAATTCACATCTAAATTCAAATTAGCCAGATGGAGCAACTCATCCTGAAAGTTGTTCAAAATAAATAATATTTAACCATTAATAAAATGACTACTACTATTATTATTATCATCATCATTATGTTCTAAAAACACGTTTTATTAGAAAAGTATTAAAACAAGCTCTGATCAGACAACAATTCTATATTTCAGAAATTGTGTTGGAAAAAAAACACAACTCTAGGAAATGTGACAAACTGTCTTCAATACTCCATCAGTGTCTACTTTTTTCTCTGGGAGCTAACAGCTCTTGTTCGTTTCAACATGTTCCTTAAAAAAATCTCATTGTTTCACAGCAAATGTGAAAAACTAAATGTCCTCATCCCATTGAAAACTGTTGTCAACCATATACTTCTAATAAAAATTAAATAGAAAATGGAATATATACGTGTAATCATTTAAGTCTACATCCAGTAGGAAATGTATGTGAAATTTATTACTTAAATCTATATTTGTGTTCTATAATAACTTATAATTTCTCTATGTCATACTATCCTTAATAAACAGTCTTTGTTCTAACATCAGGCATTTTATTTCATCCTACATTGCCAGAATTGGTATCCCCATCAGCTCCACACATCCAGCATAGGAATATGCACATGCTTAAGATTATGATTAGACACTAGGCTTGAACTTCATCAACCATAGTGTTTGCTGTACATTTTATAGGTCTCTGTTTTAATTTGTCCCCCCTGTCTAAATCAGACAAAAGGGCCCCAGCTTTTTAATTTTTGGCTTATAAACCTATTTTATCATACAAATCACTCCTAAAACTTTGGAGGTGACAGACCTTTTATTTTGTGAAGTTACAAGAGGGAACAGATTAAAGGCTGCTTCAATCTGTTCCCTCTTGTAACTTTACAAAGCAAAGGTCTATCACCTCCAAAGATTCAGGAGAGATTTGTCATCATAAAACAGGTTTATATGCCAAAAATTAAAAAGCTGGGACCCGTTGTGTCTGATTTAGACAGGGGGGACATATATTTTCGGGACAGTTTTTGGAGCAAATATTCCTCCATGCATTTACATGATAAAAAAAATGACACAATGATAACAAATGTTTCACGGGTCTCTAGTTTAACAAACTACAGAACATTTAAACAAACAAAAAAAATTACAAATTAAGAATTTATAGCAAATGGATGGGATTGCTAATGTGTAGAGTCTCAATAATCTCTGTAATATAACTATAGCTTGTTTCTAATTGTAGAAAAACGAGATTTTGCAAACAGTGCCAAATTAGGAAGCTTATTTATTTATTATTTATTCCTGTACTACGCTGCATTCAAACCTCATCTCTTTGTTTCTGCAGTGAACCCTCCAATAGCAAATCCAGTGAAAGGAAACTTCCTGATTACAAGCTGCTTGACTGTAACCATGGATACAAGAGAGTTCTAGAAGCTTCTCTGCGACCCTCTAGGATAAGTCGTTCGCATGCTGAATGAATAACAATAGATACAAAAGAAAATAAAATCACTGACAGATAAGCTACCTCCTTTACGAGCTGCAACTCTCCGTGTTGCACTTCATAAATTTGGATCACGCCTGTTCCTCTGGCGAAGTTTCCCAGGCAGACGAACTTGGCGCTGCACGGAATCCATTTGCTGTCAAACACCGTGTAGTTCAGGCTCTTCTGGATGTGTGCGATAATCTGAGGCTTTGAAAGAGGCGATGACATCTTTTAAAACACTTGAAAGGGAAGAAAATCCTCTTCACAACAGTTGTCTCCACGCCAAAACAAAATAAAACGAGGACCCTCCCACAGTTCAGGACTTTTTGCTGTCTGCACATATGCCTGACTGTATATGTACTCGTTGAGTAAATGTAGCATATTCAGAGATACACAGTATTTGATTTATAGAGAGTACTAGACGAAAATTACTAACAGGGACACAATAACTCTTTTATTAAAATTTAAAATGGAGGTCAATAATTTCTGAACCGTTCAGGCGTTGGTGAGACAGCTGTTTAGGTCCTTTCCATCGCACCTCATGCCTCTGTAGTCGCTTGCTCCTGTTTCTGCGCCCAACCAGACTAAAAACACCATTTACAGGCATGGACATCGAAACTCATCCAGCTGTAGAGGTAGTTGGGACTGTGGAGAGTAAAGATGGAGCAGAGGAATTTACGAAGGTGAAGTCTAAAAAGAGCCAGAAGCGTAAACACGAGCAGGAGGGAGCAGATATGGACACGGGGGAGAGCGTGGCCATCAAACGGCCGCAGTTTCCAGCGATCTCCGGGGAAAAACTGAGGGTAATTACAAATTTTCTGCCACTTAGAGCGTGTTTTGTGTGTATTTTATCGGTATTATTGTAATTTGAGTTCATGAACATGATGGTTTCTACAATGTTTGTACTTTCCCTTTAATTACAGTGTTTTACGCATGCGCACAACGTTCTTGCGTCATATGAGCAGCAACTAATAGATTTACCTACGATACGATGATGACATATTTGTAGTTTTCTTTTTTGATAATTTGCTCAATATTATGCCAACTTATGTCATGTTTTGATAAACCGGGGAATTGTAACCTACCTTAGATTTTCAAACCTATTTACCCTTTTATTATTTCAATTTTATTGTGGTTATCTTTTTTCCTTTCTTTTGTTTCTTTTTTTTACTTGACTACTTCCCCCCCCTTTTTTCTTTCTTTTTTTTTTTTTTACAAATTATTGTGTCATTTTGAATCTGGATTCAACGATTAACCCTTATAATGAAATTGTATGTTAATGAAACATAAATTAATGTTTACTTACCTTTTTTTTGTTATTATATATTTTTTAGATGTGTCTAAAGTGATCATTTGAGTCTTTAATAATTTTTCTTAGATAGAATGTATTGTATTTATTAGTTTAAACATATATAATTCCCACCGGTTTTATCTTTTTATTTTCTTGACATTGTTTTAAAAGTCAATTAGCATAAAGTCAATAAAACTGTCTGTGACTTAGGGACCAGATGAGATGCGTAAAATCGCTGTACCAGCTCACAGATACACCCCACTGAAGGATAACTGGCTAAAGATTTTCACTCCCATCGTAGAGAATCTACAGCTTCAAGTGCGATTCAACCTTAAAACCAGAAATGTGGAAATTAAAGTAAGTTTCCCCTGAAAAAAACACAGATTTAAAGTATTGTTAGTCATCTTTGTAGAACTTACTTACTTTTTTTTATTGTTTAGACATGCAAAGAAACACAGGACATCAGCGCGCTCACAAAAGCAGCAGATTTTGTCAAAGCCTTCATTCTAGGATTCCAGGTTGAAGTGAGTATCTGAGTTGAAGGCTTCTTTAACTTAACACTATTTCTGCAGAGTTCAAAACAATTTTTCAGCATGTTTTTGAGTAAAGTTGGCTGTTAGTGCATAAAGTGTTGGTATAAAGCTAATTGTCCTAATTTTAAACCCTTCAAAACAAGAAAATTTGTAGGAAGACATTTAGTGTTTTTTGATCTCAAACCGGTGATGTAACGATCGGCCTTGTTCTTCCCAGGATGCCATGGCGCTCATCAGATTAGACGAGCTTTTCCTTGAAAGCTTTGATGTCACAGACGGTGAGGTTGCAGCACCAGAAGGCTCTGGCCTTTTATCACTCTTTTTCCTTTCCCCACTGTTTACTTAACGTCATGTTTCTTCTTCCTGCAGTAAAACCTCTGAAAGGAGACCACTTATCCAGGGCCATAGGAAGAATAGCAGGGAAAGGAGGGAAAACTAAATTCACCATTGAGAATGTAACAAAGACTCGGATCGTTCTCGCAGACACGTATGTTCTCCAATTTTTTATGTGCCCCTCTCTGTTAAAATAAATTTTTTTTAGATAATGATATTAAAGTTTACTAATTGTCTCAACAGGAAAATCCACATTTTAGGTTCCTTTCAGAACATCAAAATGGCCCGAACAGCAATATGTAACCTGATCTTAGGTAAGCTGCAGTTTTTCCAGTGAGTTGAATTTTAAAACAGAAGATTTTAAACTGATGTTAATGTTGGTAATGACTTGATCTCAACAGGAAGTCCACCTTCAAAGGTTTACGGTAACATCAGAGTGGTGGCCAGCAGGACTGCAGAGAGATTCTGAAGCTGATTGGATGCTTCGTGCCTTTCTTCTTTTCTGGATCTGTAATGAATTAAAATCATGAACTGCAATTTGGGACAGAAACCTCACGTGTTTCTAAACGGCAGGATTGTAATTTAAGATGAACACAGTCGTGCAGTGGGGTGCCTTGTTGTATGATTTATGTAAATAAATATGAAAAACAAGGAAGGCGGTTTGTTTCTGTCAAGGAAATGTTTACAGCATATCTATGGAAATATTTCATGGCAGCTTCAGTCGGCGCATCAGAACTAGTCAGAGGAAACAAATTAGGGAACCCATTTAATGTTTTTAGGTTGAAATAATTACAGATTAGCACCAAATATTTACTGTTCTCATTAAATATTTTTTTAATAATAATATGATTGAACTTTATTGACCTCACATTGAAGAAATTGGGTGGGGGATGTGTCTTGCTCAGAGAGCCAGAGTGGCAGTGGGCCTCAAACTCAGAACGTCAGGATTCCAAGCTCTATGCCCTAATCACTAGGCCGCCACTCCTCCCTTTTCTAGCTTGTCTTGACCTTCTCTGGCTTAGTAAACTTGTGCAACGTTTAGAGGAACATCGATGTCTCCAACTGGTACGTTTTAAACACTGATCTCTATTCACTGGATAGCTGATAGGCCGTTGGTAGTACACGATTCTGTCGCCAGCCACCATATTGGTACTTCCTAGTTAGATCAGTCATACCGATACATTTATCTCACAATAGATAACATTCACTCTCTGCATCTTAAACCATCCTTTTGGGGTGCCATCCGGGGTTAAGGGTCTTGCTCAGGGACTCAGAGTGCAGGCTGTGGGGATCGATCTGGCTACTTGCAACCTTCTCGGAGCTCAAGTGCACTGCTCAATACATGCGCTACAGCGTCAAACAACCTTTTTAAATAAAAATCAGCAGTTTGACACACATTTTCTGTCCCATAGCAAAAATTGTAAACACATTGCATAATCAGTGTGAATTCTATATATCATGTAATATGTAGTATACAAATCCATCACAATGGCTATCCAGGGAATAAATGGCAATCAGTGGTTTTAAGTCAGAATAAAGCTGCCTGTTCCAGCTTGAACAGTCTTTCCCAGATGGTTTAAAGGAATAGTACACCCAAAACATGATTAGCCTTCATTTTCTACTCACCTCCATGCTGAACAACACTCTGGAGTACTTTTTTGATATCTCAAATGCATCTGGAGATCTGGGAGGCTTCTTGCTGTCTGCTGACATTCAAATAATGGAGGTCCATGGCGCCCGAGACAGAAAGGTCCATAAAAGTCCACAAAAACGTGTCAATATTCCTCCATACTGCTCGTCCAATGTAATCCAAGTGTCCTGAGTGGGTAGCATCCAGAATTTACTCGAAACGAAGTCATTTAGAATGTTTTTAGAGCATAAACAGTAGTGTATAGGATTTCCTAATAGCGCCCCCATGCGCGCTCACGATTCTACGGAAGCCGGCAGACCAAACCGGAAGGAAGTGCGCATTCAGCGTCTGGTCTGCCGATAATGCAAGCGTAGAAGAAGAAATGTGCTGTTTACCTGTGCAAAGAAAGAAACAACGAAAGAAAAATGTCTGAGGACTTCAGTGTTGAGGAAGAGCATGAGTTCTTTGCCAAGCTGAATGCGCTGGTTTGGTCTGCCGGCTTCCGTAGAATCGTGAGCGCGCATGGGGGCGCTATTAGGAAATCCTATACACTACTGTTTAGGCTCTAAAACGTTCTAAATGACTTCGTTTCGAGTAAATTCTGGATGCTACCCACTCAGGACACTTGGATTACATTGGACGAGCAGTATGGAGGAATATTGACAAGTTTTTGTGGACTTTTCTGTCTCGGGCGCCATAGACCTCCATTATTTGAATGTCAGCAGACAGCAAGAAGTCTCCCAGATCTCCAGATGCATTTGAGATATCAAAAAAGTACTCCAGAGTGTTGTTCAGCATGGAGGTGAGTAGAAAATGAAGGCTAATCATGTTTTGGGTGTACTATTCCTTTAATGCAAACTTCAGTCAGTCATGTTTTACTTGGAGACCAAAATATTCCTCCTCACCTGTCTCTAAAAATATAGTTTTGTATAAATTGCACTTTGGGGTTCTGTAAATTTCATTTAGCGTCTTGATATCTACAGGTGCTGGTCATAAAATTAGAATATCATGAAAAAGTAGATTGATTTCAGTAATTCCATTTAAAAAGTGAAACTTGTATATTATATTCATACATTACATACAAACTCATATATTTCAGATGTTTATTTTGTTTAATTTTGATGATTACAAATGACAACAAATGAAAATCTCAAATTCATCATATCAGAAAATTAGAATATTACTGAAGACCAATAAAAACAAAGGATTTATAGAAATGTTGGCCAACTGAAAAGTATGAACATGAAAAGTATGAGCATGTACAGCACTCAGTATTTAGTTGGGCCTCCTTTGGCCTGTATTACTGCAGCAATGCGGCGTGGCATGGAGTCGATCAGTCTGTGGCACTGCTCAGGTGTTATGATAGCCCAGGTTGCTCTAATAGTGGCTTTTAGCTCTTCTGAATTGTTGGGTCTGGTGTATTGCATCTTCTTCTTCACAATACCCCATAGATTTTCTATGGGGTTAAGGTCAGGAGAGTTTGCTGGCCAATTAAGAACAGGGATACCATGGTCCTTCAACCAGGTACTGGTAGCTTTGGCACTGTGTGCAGGTGCCAAGTCCTGTTGGAAAATGAAATCTGCATCCCCAAAAAGTTGGTCAGCTGCAGGAAGCATGAAGTGCTCTAAAACTTCCTGGTATGTGGCTGCGTTGACCCTGGACCTCAGAAAACACAATGGACCAACACCAGCAGATGACATGGCACCCCAAACCATCACTGACTGTGGAAACTTTACACTGGACTTCAAGCAACGTGGATGAAGTGCCTCTCTTCTTTTCCTCCAGACTCTGGGACCTTGATTTCCAAAGGAAATGCAAAATTTACTTTCATCAGAGAACATGACTTTGGACCACTCACCAGCAGTCCAGTCCTGTTTCTCTTTAGCCCAGGCAAGACGCTTCTGACGCTGTCTGTGGTTCAAGAGTGGCTTGACACAAGGAATGCGACAGCAGAAACCCATGTCTTTCTTATGTCTGTGTGTGGTGGTTCTTGAAGCACTCACTCCAGCTGCAGTCCACTCTTTGTGAATCTCCCCCACATTTTTGAATGGGTTTTGTTTCACAATCCTCTCCAGGGTGCGGTTATCTCTCTTGCTTGTACACTTTTTTCGACCACATCTTTTCCTTCCCTTCGCCTCTCTATTAATGTGCTTGGACACTGAGCTCTGTGAACAGCCAGCCTCTTTAGCGATGACCTTTTGTGTCTTGCCCTCCTTGTGCAAGGTGTCGATGGTCGTCTTTTGGACAACTGTCAAGTCAGCAGTCTTCCCCATGATTGTGTAGCCTATAGAACTAGACTGAAAGACCATTTAAAGGCTTTTGCAGGTGGTTTGAGTTAATTAGCTGATTAGAGTGTGGCACCAGGGGCCATCAATTTTGAACCTTTTCACAATATTCTAATTTTCTGATATGATGAATTTGAGATTTTCATTTGTTGTCATTTGTAATCATCAAAATTAAACAAAATAAACATCTGAAATATATGAGTTTGTATGTAATGTATGAATATAATATACAAGTTTCACTTTTTAAATGGAATTACTGAAATCAATCTACTTTTTCATGATATTCTAATTTTATGACCAGCACCTGTACTTTCAAGTTGAGTTTAGCTGGACGGCCAGATCTAAAAATTTTGGCAGTCCATTTGATTTTGGTCTTTTCATCAGGCAGTGAAATCTGTGATTTTCAAATCTTTACCAGATTTAAAAACAACTATAGCAGTCTCTCATTTCAAAGCCTTAAAATTGATGTTAACCTTCCTACAGCAGTCAGGAGAAAACCAAACTGAGGCTAAACGAGAGCAAAGCTTTAAAATGAGGAACCTTTTACTATAACGTTAACCCATTAGATTATTATTATAATATATAATAGCTTACCCCTCACCAGATATTACCCATAAATCAGTTCTTATCAAACATAATATTGTCAAAACTGATATCCACATGTCTAAATATGCACTCCATCACAAGATGCCCTAATTGTTTAATTAAACTACTAACCAGGCATTTTAAAAATATACTTCATGGACTGAAGTTCTTTAATTTTTTAACTAAAACAGACATATGTTGTGCAAAGGAGGAGGAAAAAAATGGACAAGTTATAACCCAAATAAGTAGACATTTTGAACCGCTTTAAAAAATTGTTGAATTGTAATAGTTAATTTGAACTCTATGGTTAGTTTACTTTAATTAATGGGTATGGGATTCTGAAATACCCTTCAGTTGGTATTACATGCTGATAATTAGGTGTTTTTTTTGCGGAATTGACTGAATGCTGGAGAGTTTTAGATTAACTTGATAGAGGGGATTCAATTATTTATTGCCGTAGATGAAACACAACAGAACACACCTATAGCGCTCTGCATGTGGGATATCTACTTCCTAAAACCATATGTTGGCCTGCTTTTTTACTGATTTAACATTTGTTCTCAGTTCTCCCCCTTGTTCATTTAAGTTTGCACACCTTAATCATTTAGCTAATAAGAATGAATTTTAATTAATTTGAATTAATCTGATTCAAATATTCCTGGGTAGCTTCATGCTGATGGCAGCATCATGATTTGGGGATTTCTTTTTTTGCAGCCAAAGATGCTATATTCAAATATTACATAGGATTCATGGTTAGGTAAATCATATCAATTCTTTAACACAAGGGGTCTTAATACTCAGCATTTTAGAAATAAGCAGGAGGTTGTTATTTTCAACATTTCAAAGTTTATTTAAATTTTATTTCATTTTCATACAGTATCAAGTTTCCAACAGTCCCACAGCATAATATGCAGCATGCAGAAAAACGGTTCTCAAACTTAAACGTTTTCAGATATTCCCAAGCAAACTAAAAAGAACCCGATTCCCTCAGAGAAAAAAGTAGCACTTACAAACTAAAGCGCGGTCTGAACTATACAGAGAACAGAGAGCCAGAACTGCATTTAACAAATACTTATATACAAAAAAAAGAAAAAATGAAATCAAATTTCCCCTTTAAGCTGAGTACAGTGTGTGGCAGTTTGAGACAGGATCAGATATGCAACTTTTACTGGAATCGAAGCATCTCGCTGACCCGGGTAAAATACAAAAAAACTTACATGTAGTTCAATTCATTTGGATTACCGCTCATAATATGTGTACATTTACCAAAGTTTGGCAACATCCATATTGTATACCGTAAAATTCTTAAATATATTAACATCACCATCCATGTGTAAACAAGAGTTTTTATTTCAAAAAATTGATCTACATGCACAACAAAAAATATACTTCCATGTCATGCAAGCACAGGGGGAGGCCCAAGCCGTGCAGAGCTCAGGGGTGGGGAACTATTGAGCACTCCAGATCTGACTGAATATTCCTGTTAAAACTAGCAGTTGGCCTCCAAAGCAAAACGGACATTTATCCCAATGCTGTTTATAGTAGGAAGCATTTTTTTCCACTTGGGAAAAAAAAACAAAAAAAAATGCTGAATTTAAAGTGTATCCCCTCCCTGCTTAAAGCGACAGGTGTAGGAGAAGGTGGACAACATGGTTGTGAGACAAAAAAGAAAAAAAGAAAGTGGGATTGGAAGCCAACTTTTGAAATGTACACGCACGAGATAAAAATGAAAAAAATCCTAAAAACTAGTCTAACGCCATTTGCACACTGATCATGCTAACGTGTTAAGATTGTTTTTGCGTTGAAGGAAACTGACTCGTCCTGTGCTGCACTGAGACATTTCAGAGAAAAAAGCTTCCTCCCTCCTGCTGTTCCATAAGATGAGCACACATCGATTACCTTATATACACATATCGGTTTAAAAACAAACAAAACCGCTGCCTGCAGGTAAGTCTCTTAAATTGCTTATCTCACAATTGTTCTCTCTGCGGTGCTTTGCCAAGGTCATCCAGCATGGTCTGCTAAACGTCACAGAAAAGCTCGGAAACAAGTTCGTTAGCGATTGCTGAGCCGTTCTCTGCATTGGAGATTGTCTTACAGACACGCTCTAAACCACTTATGAGTTTGCAGCCATGATTTTTTTAAAACAATTTTTATTTATCTGGAAAGACATTTTCTTGGCATTATTTTAACCTAGCTAGAATTTCATGACAGGAAACAGCGAGGATGTCCGACAATATAAACACATTCTTACGTATAAATAAAACTAGTAATCATATTGGGGGCAGAAAAGAAAGAAAGATGAGAAGTGTTGCTAAGAGTGATTGGAAGCCTTACTGGTCGATTTAAACTGAGTGGGAAAAATAAAAAAAAATCACGGCGAAAAAGAAAAATGCTTCGAAATTTGGGTTTGTATTTACGATGCCTCGCAGTCGTGCAGTTGGAAGCGTCGCGCTCCGGTTTTCCTGGCGTGAATGAAAGCAGTGATGATAGTTAATAACTTCAACTGGTTTGGGATATGTTCTGGTTGGCACTTCATACCCTACGTTCTAGCTGTACTGCTGCAAATGTAAATACACCACACACTTCCTCTCAAAAGAAAAAAAATGCAGATATATAGTTGTATTTTTTTCTTTATAAAAGACAAAATAAATATCAAAATGACAATCAACAAAAAAAGGATGAAATATGAACAAGCCAACCAGCCTCTTCACTGCGCCCTCCTCTAATTAGCCCCTCCCTCTTCCACGACCCAGAAATGCTCCTGCAAATGACCAAATGGATGTCCTTCAGTCTCTTAAAGTGCTACGACCGGGTTATTGCGGATTTACAGTTCAATAACACTTCAAAGTTGGCTTCACGAGGCCCGCGTTTTGTTTTTTTTCCGAAATAAAAACCTTAAAGAAAAGAAAAAAGCGGCTTCACAGAGAGAGATAGACATAAAGAGAGAGAATACTTCCATTGAGTTACACACAGAGCGTTTTGCCAGACGTCTTGAGCAGATCTTCGGAGATGGTGGAGAAAGCGAGTGTCGAGGGCGAGGAGGGGGGGATTCAGCAAGCAGAGGGTGCTCACACGTCCACCACCATCTTTTTGTGTATATCGAGGCCGCCGACCACCTGGAGGGAGAAAGGAGAGGTCAAACAAAGGAATGCAAACCCTTTTCCCCTATTATTGGAAACTTATTTGATCCAGATGATAACAGCCAAACAAATAGGTGCTCATCTTTTCAATAGAACCCAGAATTAACTGGTTATCACCATTAAGGTTTACCATGGGAGTACAAATGTATAAAAATGTTCAGTCAGGCCACAGCTCCAGTTTAAATTTAGAGAAAGCCTCGCTAATCAGCCGGCTGAAGAGTGTGAAAGTAAAGGTTTACCATCTCTTCTATGGTTTCAGGTTAATCAGTTAAATAAAAAAAAATAAAAAAGATTTATATTACTTGATTAGGAGGTTATCTAAATTTAACAGTCAACCAAAGCTACAGCATGCGACTGCGGTCGCTTCACATCTGCATTACCTCACTTCACTGACCGCATACAGACATTGGACTAGCTCAAACACAGAGACCTTGGACTTTAGCTCTGGGTATTTTTTTAGCTTAAGCATCAAAACTAGAAGATAAAGCAGAACTAAAGAGGGTAAATGTTAACTGACACAGGTGGATCTTCACACTACACAGATTCTTCTATTAAAAGTGATAAAAAAAATTATGCTGAATTAAAACTAAATCATGTAAAGGGTTAGGGTTACAACTTCTGAAACATGAGGTGTTTTTATTTGATTTCACAAACCGACTTTGATAAAACCATCAACATTCAGGATGCAAGGAGCAGCAGGTAAAGTATTGCACTGGAGCAGGAGGTCATTTCACACCACATTAAAAATACGGACTCATGTGGGAAGACCTAAAAGTAGTTAAGTTTAAGTTTGTCAGGCATCGGGCTGCAGGCTAGCTTCCTCTGCAGATAGACCAACTAATCTAAAGCTAAGATCAGCGTGCTTGTAGATGGGTACACTCTCAAAGAGAAAATTGAATCAGCAGCTAAAAAGCAAATGTAGGTCGTTTATACTGGAAAAACGATCTAGAAATAAGTAAAGATTTCTTAAATTAAGTCTATTTACCCTTAATTTGAGCAGGTAAATGAGATTCTTAAAATAAGATAATTAGATATTATACACTTGAAATAAGGCAATGCAATTGTGTTTTCTTATTTTAAACCTAAATAAAAATTATCTTGTTCCATTGGCAAAATGTCTGTTTTATCTCAAACCAAGAACAAATGCACTTATTATAAGACAAAATGACTTATCTAGATTTCGATTTTCTCTACTGTAGGAAGCTGTTTGGTAACTCAGAAGGGTAGTATATGCATTTTAGTTTTTGCGTACATGGTCACCTGTCATAATGGGTAAAATGCAATGCTTAAATAATGTCACCGCCGAGCTTAAATAAGATGTAAGAAGCTTGTTCACTGATGCAGTTCCCTGCATGGATAAGGCTGGCTGTTCCAAAGGACTCTGGGATTTGTAGTTGTGATGATTAATGAGCTGCATACCAACTGATTGGTTTTAGAGCATCTAAAACAGAACTGACCCTGATAGAGCCGTTTCATATGTCTGCCCTAAGAAGACAATAGAGATTCATAGGGAAGGATAAAATGGCTCCAAAGGTGGAACTTTTTTGTTTTTTAAAATGAGGCTGTTTACTGCTTAACATTATGGTTATGGTAGTTTTGCTGCAGTTTTACAAAAACTGAACAAAATAAAGGAACAGCCAAACAATTTCTAAAACTAAAGAAAAAGATTAACCAACAGATGAATTAAAGAGTAAATAATAGTTCAAATTTCAGTTCAATATCTAAGAGGAAGAGTGAGAAATACCCTAACGTGAGATAATTTCATTTAAGACTTATTCTATGTTGACACCAAATGCAGTAAAAAAGCTTCTGCTGCTTCATCTTTGAAGCTTTGTCCACATTAAGGTCAGTAAAGTGTGTCCAGATGCATCTGATGCTTGTTCTGCTCCTGTTTTCAATGGAAGAGAGCGGCCTTGCTATATTTGCTGTGATAAGATGGTAAAAAATAATTTTTATATATTTTTAAGGGAGAAAGTCCATCTTAAAACATCATTTTTGCAGTCAGTTTACAAAGATTACGATCCTGCCTTAAAATATTTCACTGTCGGAGCTGCGCAGACCCCCACATACAGGGGGCAAGCTATCACTGGGAATGAATGGCCAGCTGGAGCTCCCTCAGCCTCTTGGGGGTTTTCCGCTATCGTTCATGGCCGCTGAAAGTAGATGTTAATGTTTTTCAGGTATATGTGACGAACTTCAGGCAACCAAATAATAAGAGCGAACATATTTTGCTGGCAGGCTTCGACATTTTAAGTTAATTTAGGTGTTGGTAAACAGTTTCAGGGGACAGATCATTGCGCTCACATTTCCCAGATCCGCTCCTCTGATTGGTTGATGTGGCAGTTCTAATTTTTCAACTCCAGCATCTTCTGTTTATGAAAGGCTTCATGCACCTCAGATGCGTCAAGACGCTCTGCAGGACCTTTTGATGCGCATCAACTGTGGACTTTTCATGAGCAGCTGCTACTCAAATCACATTTGGTGTCAACGTTGTATAAAAGTGTAATAACTGCTGTGTTAAATGTCCTTAAACAGCTACATTTCCATACATTTAGAGAAATCCAACCAGCAGCTCAAACAAGGAAGGATGCTCTTTAACAAGAACTCAAGATGTTAACAGTTAATTAAAATTGATCTATTGAAGAGATGAAACTAATCGCTTCCAATCAAAAATGTTTCCTTATTTTGTTAACTATCCAACCAAAGCTGGGAGGGATGTATGATTTGTATTTTAATCAGGATAAAGAACAGGTCATAGTTGCTATTTTAGGGCGTTCATTTCTAGATCCTGCTGTTTGGAATAGTCTGTTTCTGATCGGTCTCCTATTTGAAGACATTCATATCTTAGCAAAGTAGATTTTAAAACAAAGTAGAGCATCAGTATGAAATGTAAAGCCAGTATTTGTAATTTTACATAAAAACAGAAAGAAATGCATCTGAAAAAATGAGATTAATCACAATCAAGCTCCTGTTAGTCAATAGTAGAACCTACTTTAGAAGCAGTTACAGCTACGTCTGTCTGATTACATCATCCAGACTTATGACATTCTTAGATCCATTTTTAAATAACGATATAAATATTTGAGTACTTATAGGTTTTACCATTTCTTTTTTTTATCTCCACATCAGGAATCTGATGTTAAAAACATTCTAGACTGGATTATTCTAGATAAGCTCTCCCAAAACTCCTAAAGCAGAAGGAATTTAAAAACATTGTTTTGATCTGAACTGAAAACAGGTTATAGTTTAAGACCCAAATGAAAATGGTCCAAAGACAAAAAATTATTGTGAAATTATCCTATTTTTTTAATCAAGTCTGTGTATCTGCTTATAATCCATAAGCTGAAGAAGTTGTGATGAAGAAGCCTAAAGATCATCTCAGAAATTTAGATCTTTGTCTTGTAAAGTGGAGTTTTAAATTCTTTATCCTAGTAACCCAGAACTATGCGATTTCTTTAGGATAGAGCTTGGTGATGCAGCTTGGAAATCTATCTTTGATATTTTTCTACCAAGGTTGATGAATCTTTTTTTTACTGCCTTACGATTAAAGAAAAAAAAAGAAAAAAATGACATGCATTACTTTAAAAAGCTAGCTTTTATTTCAATCATCCCCTCTGCAAAATGACCTTGATTGAAGAAATTCAAGCTGTGAAACGAGCTTGTAAAATAACCATTTTCACAACAAACACTGAAAATATAACAAACTAAATGTTCACAGCTAGTAGTATTACAGTCAACTAGTTTAACTGTTGTGAGTAGACATCCAAGGATAAAAGGAAGTCACAAATTAAAGTCACTCTGAGATTTTTATTAAATGTTGATAAACATAAAATGTGATGAACAGATCATATTCTTTCACAGATAAGACTGAATAAAACCATATACGGCTGTATTTTTTTTTCTTCTTTTAAAAAAGGCACCGCCTCTTTTTCCATCTACTTCACAATGAGTGTTGCTGTGTGTTAGATTACCTACAATCCTAATAATAAACCTCAATGTTAGTAGCACTAATGTGACAAAACGTGAGACACTAGTGATGAATATAGTGTGGTTCCTGTACGGCAGAGGAGCAGCACATGTTTGAACAGAACCATGAAGCGATGAGATTCTACTTCCATATCCGAGTTGTAAATACTCCATCTTTGTTTTACTACCAGCACCCTTCAAACAGCATCTTTTTTCATCACATTCAGCTGATGTTTACACAGCTTCTCTGAAACAAACGCTCGGACCAAAAACGGCTACAGACTCTCTATCCTTTGAAGCACAAAATGTTTGAGCTGCAGTATTTTCTTTCATCTTGCATCAGTCTCAAAATACACACTTAAAAAAAAAATGGGTGGTGGTGGGGGGGGGGGGGGGGGGTGATTTTAGTTCAAGGCTCTGGAGATCTAGCTGTCAAAAAATGGGTCTTGCGTCTGTCGGAGCCAGATATAGAGCCTTTTATTTCAGAAACTGGCTCGGAGTGACACTAGTCCCTCTGGGGACCACCAAAAGACAAGTTATTGGATTTATTTAGGTAGGCCACCCACTGTGTTAAAGCAACTCTTTACCACTATGATCTGAAATGAGCTGGTGTAGTTTTAATTTGCATAAGAAAACTGGATTAGAATTTGGTGCCACAGCAGGGAAACTGTGCTTCTCTCTCTCCAGAGCAGATAAGTCTTATCACACCAGACCTCGGGATCGCTGGATGACACAGCTCCTCCCACATAAGCGGCGCTCACTCACTGAAACTGAAACCCAGAGCTGTTGAGCCCCAGCGAAAAACCATCGGTCTTTCCAGAGATTTCTTTCCCCTTTGACCTTTTACCGCCTCCACAACCGACAGCATCAGCAGAAATGCCACCGCCCCCAAAAATACCCCAGGAGAGCTTCGACTCACTGCACAGAACTCTTCAAAGGATATCCTGCCGTCTCCATCCTTGTCTGCGTTTATAATGGTCTTGTCCACAATCTGCTGGAGCTGCGTGTCCTTCAAGTTGTTGCCCACCATCATCTTCAGTACTTGGAAGAGCTCGCCGTTGGAGATGTAGCCGTCCTTATCCATGTCGTAAATCCTGAAGGCAACTGTGGATCCGCATGTGGCGTGAAAAGAGAAAATGAAGTTAGTTATATGCAAACCCTCAAAGAAATATCACGTATTGATTAGTAATGCCTCTTTAAGGGTTAAATAATAAGTCTGACGTACTGAGGCTGACTGCAAAGAAATTAGCATCAGGGCTAATCTTGTTTAGGAATAGAGATGGGTGGAAATAAAGAGAAGACACATTTATCCTTTTAAGCAGTAAAAACGTGTGCCTTGATAAGATGGCCTAAACAAGCAGAATAACCTCTGGCCACATATGGAAGTAATGCAGCAGCAGGTTTACTTACATCGCAGTTTCTGTTCTTTGTCGCCCTTGACGCTGAACTGTGAGACTCCTTCAATAAATTCTGAAAAAGAAAAGAAAAAAAAGAAAAGTTGAAGCTCCTCTGGAAGGTCACGCATTAAAATCTTATTCCATCACTGGATTGTTTTTCTATGAAACTTAAAGCTCAATGCAAATTCAGATCTGGAAATGATACTGCACTACAGATATGGTCCCCGGTTTATTTTTTCCCAAGGTTAACTGAAAAACTGCAATATTTCGATTCAAAAGTTTCTATTTTAATGAGACTAAATGTTGGTAGTTAATACAGTTTAAATCATTTTTATGATACAAGGTTTCATGTAAACAACTTCAGACGTTTATTAATAGTATTACTGCAGCTTCCCAGCCGTCTGTTTTGATAGGGTTCATTGATAATTTAGCTCAGGCTCTTTCTAAACTTACAGGAATAAGTTCTCCTTGTTTATAATCTGAGCCTGTTCCACTGTGTTTTAACAGAGATGACCTATTAAGGTTTTTTAAGCAGTGTGTTGTCAAGGTTTCTCTGCGTTTTAGCCCATCTTAGTCAGTCATATCAGACAGGAAGCTAAAGCCACTGATACAGACTCTTTTCCTGTGCATCTCTTTGAACATCATTGGCTACACTCAAACCAAAACAGTTTTAAAAAAAATTTCTTAAAGAGAATCCACCAGTTAGTAAAGTTCTAAAACAATGTGATTCCATGGTCACTGATTATTCTTCATGTACACATGCCCAACATGCTGGAGCAGTGACATTTACAGAGAAAAATATATAACTTAGAGTCTAAATGTACTAAGAGCTTATATAGGATAGGGTGAGAATATTTAGAGTATGGTGGCGGTCCAGCAGTGGTGCATCAGACCCATATATGGAGGCCTTAATCCACGACATACTGGATGTAAATCTCAAAACAGAGACTTTTGGTACACGTCTCTCCACTCATTTTCCACCCCCTTCCCTGTTTTAATTATAAATAATGGCCACAGACCCCTGTCTCTTTAAAAATACATATTACCTAAACCTTTAAAATAAAGTTAAAGGTGTAGTTAGATGCTGTACTGTAGGTAAAGAAACACCAAGTCAGTGTCATTTCTTTACAATCAGGTAAAATAATCTCCCAAATATCTTTACTTTCCTCTTCCTCTTTCAGTTTGTAAGAATTTGCTTCTTGTGACTATTTGCTGTTTTCAAAGTATAGGCTGAGAGCAGGGAATGTATAATAACATTGTCTGGAACCGAAGCTAACTGGATGCATAAATATTAGAAGTGTTCACAGGTAACAAAGGAAAACAGCAAATCACAAAGATCAGCATATGGGGGCTCTGGGGATCTCCTCCAGGGTCTGTGAGCCTGTTGGGGACTGGCCCCTGGACCCAGGAGGATAGTGCATGTATGAGGAGTTAAAGAATATATATAGTATAGGCCTGTATATGTCCATATGACTTAGAATTAGACAACTTTTATTGTCATTTTGTATACACAAAGTTTATACAAAAGGAATTTTGTTTAATCACCATTGGTTTTGACTTTGACTCACATGGAAAGGATACCCGTTGCTCTTGAAACTTCTCTTTAAAGTTTACTTTGGTTGTCTGTTGTCTTCTTTTTTTGTTCTGTTCTCTGTTTTCTGTCCCTCTCACCTCTTACAGGTGGGGAAGCAGACTAGGAGTTACTGTTCCTTTTGTTTTGTCTTGTTTTCTCCCTTTTCATGCACTCTCTTTTATCTCTTTCTCTCTCCGCTTATTTTTCCATTCTCTTATTTTCTAACCTTCCTTTCCATCTCGATTGTTTACGATTTTATTCTCGGAATAATTTTCCAAAAATTTTCATATACCAGTACCAAGCAGAACCTTATGGCAAAAGTCGTAATGAACTGCTTGTAAAAGCTAATCTGTTGGGCTATCATCTAGCTCTGGGACATCTATTCCCAAAGCCATCTTGGCTAAACAGGACACCAAAAAGATCAGCATGTGGGACAACCGAAAGGTAAGATGTAACCCCCCGAAGACCACCATAACGCTAAGGTTCTGATTCTTCAAAGAATATAAAAATTTTTTTTTCCAAACACGTATAATTGCTACGACTCGCTGCTTCCAGCTGCTATTATATTTTAAACAGTGTTTATATGCATGTTTTTAGTTGCACAGCTTTATTTTCCATCTTACCATAAACAGGTCTGTCTTTTTATATTTTAACCTTAACCATAAAGAAATCCCAACTGTAGTTAAATACAGTCTGAAATAAGCTGTCGATTTATGAAGCATTTCTAGACCTAATCTACTTTTAGCTGTCATTTAACACATCAACAAAGTTAGAGGATAGAGTGTTGATTTCACAGCATGTACTTGTTACAGCAGTACAAGTGGGGTGCATATAGGAAATGTGCAAAGAAAGGAGCAAGGCAATTGTGCAAAACAAGAAGTAATAACAGATTAAAGGTAACTTGTGTACAACACATCAAACCATAAAGAGAAGCAGAAATATAAACAAATCAACCCAAAAAAAGGGGAAAAAATCTACATCATGTACATCATGTGCAGAGCAAAAGCAGAAGCATAGTTGAGAAGTAGGTGTTAAAAAACACAGCAGCAGGGTTTGACGCTTACCTTTAAAGTCCACCTCTCCGTTCCCATCCGTGTCGAATATGTCGATAACCCTCTGCACCAGAGGGTTCTGTTGCAGCTCCGGCAGAGACATGAATTCCTCGACGCTGAGCGAGCCCGAGTTATCTAGGTCGAGTTTCTTAAACCTCTTCCCTAGCCTCTTAATCTCATCAGCATCGACTGAACAAAGAGAAAAAGAAAAGAAGACAGAAGATCAGGATGAGGCGTTTCCTGTTGGACTAAAGATCTAGATTATCATCTTGGTTATCAAAGCTGTTAGAAGCAGGAACCTTAATGTCAGAACACGAAGAATAAGAATTAAACAACCAAAGTTGACCTGTAAGGCAACATTTTTCAAACATGTGAAACAAAAACTGAACTACACATTTATGCAAATGTTAAGAAAATGAAATGTTTAGATATTAGTCATAAACAGGGGAAAGCCAGCAGACCTGAAACTGACAGCTTCTAAATCAAAGAACCGCACAAACCAGAGGATGCCCTGCTCTGCTCTGAGCAACCATTAAAAAAAAAAAAAAAAAGGCAGTGGTAAAATAAAAGGTGGGGGAGCCAAAGAAAAAAGTACCTGAACTCTGAAAACTTACAGCCTTTGTGGTCGACTTGTGCAGCTTTATTAGATGGAGTTTGGATCTTTTGTTTCCCTGCCATGAGGAGAAACCCTCACGTCTAAGGCAGCTGCACTAAGCACTGAGCAAGGAGTAATCCAGAAGCAATAATACCATCCGTTGATAATTACTATATAAGCTCATTCAAACACAGTCACATGACCCGGCCGGCCAACCACAAACTATTAATTTATGAGCTTTAAGGTGGGGTCCTAAACTACATCTTTAAAAGAACGTTGTGGCTAATTTATGAGGCCTTCTGGTTCTGATCAGATTTACTGAACCAAGAAAACCAGGTTCAATAGTATGACGTGCTGCTGATAAGACATTTAAAACGCAAAACAAATCGATGCAAAAAAAGGATTAAAGTTCTGGTAGGTCAGGCAAAGTTTTTCCAAGCTCATTTCATCCCCATTATAATAGATGCCAGCTTTAAAACAACAACCCTGGCTCCGTATTCCTGGTGGAAACTGCGCAGATTGCATGGTTTTGGCTGCAACTGCTCCATCCGTTGTGATTTGAACCAAACCCATGAGGCTGGAATAGTATGACTCTGCAGTTTTTTTACATGATGCAACGCAAGGCAAGGAAAAAGATGGTTGTGCATGGTGTTCTGCGTTTCAGCACTCCAGCAGCCGAGCTACATCGGCTCGATGACTAATCTGCATGTGTTGGAGGAGAAGTGGAAGAAGGAGAGAGGGTGAGAAACACAGATTGAGAGGAAGAGACTATAACCGAGGCCAATACAGGCAAAACATTTCAAAGCATCATGTTTGGTTTTAACTAGGGATGTCCCGAACCTTTGATATATGAAAACGTTCCAATATAAGCTGTCAAAGGAAAATCTAAAGATGTCTTCCTGTATCTAAAAGTATCCATTTAAGCCATTGATTAATGAGAAATGGCTCAGTTGTTCTCATTCCTTAACTGTTTTTCTCAGTTCGAAAAATATCACTTCAAAAGTTTTCTAACAACAAAATAGGTAAGTATTGAAAGTTTGTATGATTTGTTCTGATATCAGGTCAATATTGGTAAATACTCAAATCTGCAACATCAAAATCGTATCGGAAATGTTAAAAGTTGTATGGAGACGTCCCTGGTTTAACATTATCCATCTTAAAACCATCACCTGCTCTATACACTAATGTCGACATTTGGAGACAAATATAAAAGTTTGCTAAATTGATGCTAAATTGACTTTTTTATTACCAAACTGCAATGACACTTCCAGTTGATTTTTTTAATCTTTTAACCCCAAGCATTAAGTTAGGCTTAAGGGTTCCATTGTTTTTATGGCCTTTAATGTTCTATTGTCCAGAGTAGATGGTTGGGTGGACTTTAAGGTTTCTAGCTCCCAAACTGATCTTTGAACTAGCTGTAACCCTCCTTTTATTTCTGGGGTATCAAGCTCATGTAAACATAATACCACCACCTAAAGGGCGGGAGGCCTTAAATGTAAAATGGCCAAAAATCAAGGGCCTTTTTTTTTTTTAGATTTGCAGACAAAACTGCAATTATAATTATTTGTTTCACAATTTGGGGTACTGATTCAAGTCTGTTAAATTATTTTGAAGAGGTAAAAAAATGAATGTGGCTTTATGATTAATAAAGAAAGACAACATCTTTTTTATTTATGACTCAGTTTAATTCACTGGACAATGTAATGCATTGCTGGCAAAGAGAGAGAGTTTGGATCAAGCTTGCATTTTACTTTTTGTTGCCCTGTCCAATTGATTAGATTCCCAACATAAACAGACCACTCTACTATGTTTAGAACTAAGCAGAGGTCATTCTCCTCAGATGGTCCCGTATCAATCAGCCTAGGGCATTGATGGCAGCAAAAGTTTATCCAACAAGTAAATTATATCAGTTCAATCAAAATTTGTTAAAGAGGGGCACTTGAGATGTTATACTCTTTCAGGCATCACATCCAAGTAGATTTTTGTGTTTGAGGAAAATATGCTTAGCATGGCTATTGTAGCATTAATACATAGGAACCTGATTGAAACCAAATAAGACAGAAGAAATTGCTAATTTTGTATATGGTAAAATAGGCATGTACAGCACTTACTATAACATTTACTTCAGTTTTATCTAAATATTATTTTTGGCATTTATTATCTCAACCTATAAAATGTTACAAAATTACTTGACAATATCACAAATTGTGGAAATAGGATTTAATCATTTTTGTTCACTTTTACACTGTAGAAATATTTTAAAGCTTGTTTTGGCACAAAGCTGCCATCAGTGGTATCAGCGTCTTGTTAATATTAAGAAACTGTTTATGATTGGTTAATGCCGGCAATATTGTAAAATTGTAAGGTATTGCCTGGATTGACCCTTTGGTGTTTTATCGTAATATTCTGAAAATTCAAAAGCAGTTTCCTTATTTTATTTTAAATGTTCTTATTTTAGTTCTTATCTTGTTCAGACCATGACCCTAAGTTGAATCCTCACTTTGCAGCCTGCGTCTTATCGCAGTCTCCAATAAAAGGCTTTTAAAGCAACAGTTTTTACATTTATGGCCTTGAGCAGGTAAATCTGTCACAATGTCCAGTAGCAGAAAATGGTGTCACCCGTCTTTCTTCTTTGCCTTAAAAATAATGTGGTAGCCTATGTGATAATGCATTCTGTTTAATGGCTCAAGGGTATGATGAATATCACTGAGGGGCATCGGGTTCACAAAACCTGAGGAGGAGAGATTAGCCTGGTTTACTGGTCTAACAATGTAATAGCTGAAAGCTACAGCGCAGCTATAAACAAGAGCCCCTCACTTAAATTAAGGCAGATATAAAGACAAAAAAAAAAAAAAAAGGATGTTTATTAACTGGTGATAAAAGAAAAATCTTTTCATAAAATTATAGAAACTAGATCTGTCTACCTTAGATGTAGGCCTACATGTTAAATGTATTAGGTTATTTTAGCTTGGTGAAAGTATTTCCCATTTCCTTTTGTGCATTTAGTAGCAATTCAAGAAACTTTAGCTCACAATTACTACTCTGTATCCAATTTCCATTAACTTTGCAGATTTAAAACATATTTATTAATAGCAGAAAGTCAGTAAATGAATTCAATTTGAAAGAGAAACAAATCCACAAACAAACAGAGGCTTTTAAAATGTGATATTTTGTCCCCTGAGGGCGTCCGTGTCCACTAGGAACGGTTATCTGAGCTGACCAACTGACTCTTCTTTTGACACAAAACACGGTCTAATCAGCAGCCTCCTGTTTTCCTGCTCACAGCAGATGACAGCAGCCAAGCCCGTACATGGAGTATCAGTGTTACAGATTTAGTATTGCAAATCAAAGCCATGTTCAGGGGAGCCTGCTGCATAGCTAAATGCGTCCTTTTCACGGCCTGATGTGAAATCTGTAACAGCTGAGTGATGCAAGCACCCAAATAACAGAAGGTATGGGGTTAAATCACACATTGAAGTAGAGAAAGATCTGTTCTATACAATCAAAATGATTTAACCCACCATTTTAAAATGGATTTTGTTATTTTCATTTGGACAATTTAATTAGAATAAATTCTGAACTTCCTTTTGGTGCACATACACGTGTGTGTTGATTTTAAAATAAGTGCTGCCCGTCTAAACGGTATGTTAAATTTCTGAAAAACTGACTGTGAAACACGTGGAAGCAAGTTGAGGAGAGGACCGGGACAAACTGGTCATGCTCAGATTTACTCATACAGGCGTCTTGTTTATAGACAAGAACTTTTCTTTAATAAAATATCCTGCAGGGTTTGTATCACATCACCCATTACTAATGCAGATAATAATCGTCTGCCTGGCAAAGAACTTAAGAACCCAATCCTGACAGTACCTTCTGCGCTAAAGTCCTCATTCTGAGCCAAACAGAATAGAGCAGTTAAAATAAATACCTATGCGTCCTCCATTTAGAAGAATGGGATTTTTTTGAATAATCTATAAGCAGAACTCAGTTAGCTCTTTATATATAATTGATAATTATTACTAAAACGCAATTATCAATACACTACCTAAAAAAACAAAAATGTTGCCATCAAAAAAGAAAGAGAAAGCTCAAAAACTTATATTAATTGGACCACATTTGCTTTAGCATTATTTCAATAAGCATCTGCACTTTCACAAGATTCATTCAACCCGGTGTCGCAAGAACTTCTCTCCAAAATCATGTCTTTCTGAAATATATTTGATGATACAGTTATTTACTTTTCTCCATTTGACCTTCTAAAACAGAAATCTTTTCCACGACCATGGGATGTGTCGTTCGACGTGATTATTTTAAGAATATATTGGGGTTAAATAACTTGTTGCCAACTGAGACATAATGGCTCATGCAGTAATTCTCCAAAGGGAGGCTGGTACTGATTTGCTTAGTTGCCGACTTTTTTGGGGGTAATTTCATAACTGCATGTGCTGCCACTCTACTGACAACACAGGTAACTATTACAGGCAATCATTGTTAAACCTACCATCAAAATGTTTTTACTCTTTAGGTACACTCAAAGAGGAACACAAAATAAGAACTATTTCTATTTATTCCAAACTCCTACTGTATTTTCAGT